CGTAAAAAAAAGATGAAGAAAAAAAGAGAGAGGAGATAAAAATGAAAATAAGAAAACTCTCAGTCGATCAAATCTCTGCTGATCACCAAAAAGAAATGATCACGCCATAGATGTATGTACAAAAAGAAAAAGAAAGAAATCATCTGTACATAATACGTAAGAAAAGGAAAGAAAAAACAATCTTGTGTATGATCACGTTCCATAAATGTGATCAATCTTATGTAACCAGGCATGCGCCGGTTATTTTGCTTATATAATCAGAAGAAGAAACAAACGGCATAACCTCATCCATAAACGGACAAATAACAGATAACTGTCGATTAGAAAACCCTTGAATTTTCAGGGATTAATACTGTGTTATTTCCGTGTGGGCGTAATTGGTTTAAGGGCCAGGACCATAAAAACCGTGCGGGATCGAAACCGAAATAATTTTACGGGACTGGGACCGGAACCGGGACCGAAACAACCTTACGGGACTGGGACCGGGACGGGACCGAAACAACTGCACGGGACCGGAACCGGAACCGGGACCGAAACAAGTTTACGGGACTGGGACCGAGACGGGACCGAAACAACTGCACGGGACCGGAACCGGAACCGGGACCGAAACAAGTTTACGGGACTGGGACCGAGACGGGACCGAAACAACTGCACGGGACCGGAACTGGAACCGGGACCAAAAATCATCGGTCCCGCCCATATCTACTCACTACCTCACAGAATATGAAATCAAAAAAGCAATCTCTCATATCAACAAGAATATCCACTATACAAAAAAGGAGAAAGAAACACACCGAGAAAAATAACTACATAAAAGAACTAAGCACTATACACTGGACATAAAAGAGAGAACATGATCAACCTAAAGGATGAATCATGTGGGGTAAAGAGGTTATGAGGAAAAATCTGTCACAGACATCTAATATTCATCTGTATTTCTCTGAGACTTTGATCCCGTCAATTGCGTCGTAACAATGCAACAAAAATGCACTAAATAAGAGACTTTTGCCATCGTTCTACAAATTAAATAAGTATTTTCTGACTTTATTTTGCTTCCAAAAACAAACATATTTCCAACGTTTTACTTGTCGTTCCTTTTTGTGACTATCAGAAAATATATTACACTTGCTATCAACCGTAGTTTTCTTTAAAAACTTATAAAGTACATAATAGACTGCTCTATACCTAACTTCGAAAAACTAATTGATGCTTTCGAAGAATTACATGATTTTCTACGAAATGTGAAAATTAAATAAATAATAAGCAAAATTGTCAAAGCCCAAGATAAAATTATTTACTGGTAAAAATTTTTAGTTCGTGATTGTGCTCTAAGACTATGTTTGTCTTTTTGTTGTAATCCTAAGGCTACTTGTTGACTAACTACATTATGACTGTTTATTTGACTATTATGGTGACTAGCTTTTCATTGATTACATATTATTCGTTATAGCACGATTTATACAAATTTTGTGAATTTTGTAATGAGTTACGATTGTGAAAGTACGAATGCACCTTGGTTGCTGGCTGCACTTTGTCCATTTTCTCATTAGAAGTCATTGTTATGGCATTAAACTTTTTTCGTCATCTTTGCTGTACTCGATATCTATCATTATCATTATCTTCGGGTGTTGACGAAAAATCAATTTCTGATGGATCAGAAGTTTGTAATAAATATTCTTCACTTGCAATTCTCTTCATACCTTGAACCACTACATCATCCTGCATTTCTTCTTCACTATCTGATGATGAATCAACGTCCAGTTTGTCATGGAGATCTGGTGCACAATTACAGAAAAAAGACAGAAAAGATCCCGGAAAAAGATGGTATGTACGATATAATCTTTTACTCTATAGAACCTCATGTTACTTTTGGGAAAATCGACCTTGATTGCAAAGTCTTTTGCTGAACCTTTTCTGCATTATAGATTAAAAAATAACTACATGACACCAGATTCGAGAACATATAATTTGTACTACTGAAGAAGCAGTCGGTTTAGACTTCGAAACATTTAGCAGTTGTAAATAAATTTATAAAATAAACTGAAATTCTACGAGGAAAACGAAATTAAATTTAAATATGATTTCCTTATCATATTATCAATAGAGTTATCACTACCTTGTATTAAATTTACATTACACATTCGCGTATGGTGGTCACAAAATTATGTCAGTGTTATTCGTACGTATTATTAGTATTCGTCAGCATTGTAAAGCATTATTAAAAAGGCTCACTAGGCTCACTCATGAGCAAAATTTCTTTCTACAAAAGTGTAAAAAGCATGATTTAATATCAAAAGGTTTACGGATACATTCAAAACATGCTAATTCACATCCTGCTGATCAAATATGTTTAATTGCTAGCCAGAAATTACTTAATAGTACAATTCGTCAAAATTTTTATCTTGAAAATAATTTTATCTTGAGCTTTGACAATTTTACTTATTATCTAATTTTCACATTTCGTACATCTGTCATTTCATTTATTAACCACGATGTCAGCCAACAATACATTTTAGCTGCTCATCTTTATGTATAGTCAATTGTAACTTTCATAATCATCACCTTATCATCTTTTACTGTACTTATTATTTATGTCTCACATTTCTTTTTAGGTATATGTCATATCTCCCTCATTTCTAGATCTCAGTAAGTGTAATTTCTAAACATCATCCTGTTATACATCACTATTTGCAGTTGTTTAACATTCTGCGTGTACATATTTTAATTAGCTCTTGTATATTTTTTTTTATATATATATAGTGTGTTCTTTTCTGTGATTAATTTCTATTCGAAACGTTCAGCAGTTGTAAATAAATTTATAAAATAAACTAAAATTCTATGAGAAAATCTATCATAACCTATCTATCGTAGGCCATGTACTGTTTTTTTTTTGTAATCGGGATCCATTCTGCGTTTTTTCCGGGATTTTTTTAAATCGCGCATTACATTTTTTGCGTTGTGTTTTTATTTTAACAGATTTGACTACTTCATGTCTCGGAAAACGAACCAACAACATAATATTTTTCCAAATATACTCATCGGCTAAGTACTCAACAGCTCTTTTCAGCACAGAGTATCCCAACACGTTCCCACGTGAAACATAGCTGACATTTAATAATCCATGTACTGCGTTTTAAATGTATGCCAAAAATACTGGCTTTTAACACTCAAATAACTGTTAAAAAACTGCCAAATAACAGTCAGTTTATTGTCTGTTATGTGATTGTTGATAAAGGCCCGAGAAAAGGCATTTAACATAGCAGTCACTGTTTACTGTAAAGTTTTTGGTTGGTATAATGGCAAAAAACAGGCATTTAACTGTGCCTCCTAAAATGTAAAATAACTATCACAGTTAAATAGCTATTAACAGGCCATTCTTCAATTGCAAAATATACAGCGAAAAAACTGACATTTAAAATGACTGTTTCATTCACCCTTTTATTTTACAATCATGACTGATATATGATATATATATCACTGAAATTTGGAAGGGATTTGCAAATTTTTCTCTCCCTCGATTGTACGAATCATCGAAACTTGTCTGGTGGAAGTCGTCGCTGATTCTGAATCTGGTGCTATTAATAGCACCGTGGATCTAAGGAACCAAAACTATCAAAAATTTTGGAAATCATTATATTTGGGATACTAATCAAAAAGTTTAATCAAAGAAAACGTTTGATAATTGACCGTTAACAGCCAGTAATAGTGTAAAAACGGCCGTTACATGATGCTATTAACTGCCTATTTTCGGACAGTTTCAGCCTGTTAAAAAATGTCATATTAGGGCATTAAAACGTTCCCATTTATAAGGTATAAAAATTCCCATTTAATGACTATTTCATTAGCTCTTAACTGACATTTAACAGACAATTAATTACACCATTTTCGACGTTAAGGGTTGTGACGAGGTGTTTCCAGTTGCCGTTATTCCATAGTATAACTTAACTGATCAAATTTTTAATGACTTTTATTACTTAAAAAACTAACCGCAGATACTAGATAAAAATCTTCATAAAATCCTCATTTTTAAATGTTTCTGAACCAGAAGATCTTTCCATGAACATTTAAATGAGTGCTCCTGTGATCTATAATACTCACAATTGTTATGAATACTTGTCACATTACTGCTATATGAGTGTATTGACTAAGGGTTCGCATTTTTCCATATTGTTTTCATGGACGAAAACTAATTAAATCAGGATAGAATAGGTATGAACCTTCGAAGTCAGTCGCTAGTGACCAAGTTGTTGAGAAGAAAATATTTTCATTTGATTCATTTCTATAAAGTAATGAACAAGTTATCTCCGTTTTCAGTTTTTGATCCGTCCTTTATAACACCACTGACGGATCGCAGAACAGAGCGTCAGAATACAAGTACGGTTTTAAAACATGTAAGGGCAAACACGAAGCCAGTCGCGACACCGAGTCTTACAAAAAGTTCAAGTGACATTGATTATACTGCTTTACACTTTGTCCTTCACGTTTAGCGTGCACGGACCAACGTAATGCAAAATCGCACTATCTCACACAAGAAGGAACTGCATGTATAAATGCAAAAAAGGTGCTATTTATGTCTTCGGGTAATGTATCAAGAAGAATTGAATCTGCTATATTTTGATTCCGATGTTCTCTTTAGATCACCGAGGTGACTAATTTGTTTCGAGTGCTGCTGCCATCTGTGAAATAGGCTTTTAATCACGGTTTGATTATGTATTTTTTATTGGCTTACTAACAGCATATCAAAACTCATATACTTAAGGCCTCTATCTTATTATTTTCTGTCTGCCTTCCTTTATGCGGCGACTGAATTGTTAAGTTCACAAGAAAGACAATATTAATATTATTATTAACAAATATAATTAATATTATTGAAATTTCTTAGAGGATCGTTCAGTTGTATTTTAATTATTGACATTAAACAAAACTATGCAAGTACGTCGACTTTAATCTAATATTTATTGTTTACTGTGCATGATATCTAAGATTGAGCTATAGTTTGCATGGTAATTTGAGTGTCGAACTGTTTACTTCAGTTTCAGATTGAATAAAACATTATTTTTTCTCAAAATAAGAATTCAGCTACTCAAGGTAAATACGAGTTTTCCTTGTTTTTCTAAAGTAGATTTACAATTCTTTCTGTTGTATCCTTTAGAAATAATGACAATCGAAACAGAAACAACTGTGGTCGAGACGGCTTCGCCCACTCCTTTACCTGTTGTCGAAAAAGTTAAAAGAAAGCGATCATCTCGCAGTTCATCTTCAGAATCAAGTAGTTCAAGCGGTAGTGGTTCGTCGAGTTCATCATCCGCCAGTTCACGTTCGTCATCCTCGTCGTCTTCTTCATCGAGTAATTCAAGTCGTTCTAGTTCAAGTGGGTCATCGGCCAGTCCGAAAAAACCGCGTACTGGTAAAAAAACGGCTCCATCTGGTAAAGAAAATAAACGAAACGCAGGAAAAACAGCAGAACCTGGCACAAAGGCAACAACCGGTTCTGGCAGTAAACAAGCAGGCTTGTCATCTCGTACAAAACAGCCGCCACCTAAAAGTCCGGAGCGTAAACAAGAACGAGAACAATCAGTAAAAGTGTATGTTGGAAAATTAACAAGAAATGTAACAAAAAACCATTTGTATGAAATTATGGGAACGTATGGAGAAATTAAGCAAATAGATTTACCATTTGATCGTACACATCCGTATTTACATCGAGGTTTTGCTTATATTGAATATGTTCAAGCACAAGCAGCTGAATCAGCGTGTAAATATATGGATGGTGGTCAAGTTGATGGCAAAGAAATTGTTTGTGCCTTAGTTCATAGTCATTCGCTATCGAGACGTAAATCACCTATCAATTCATCTTCATCATCCTATCGAAATCGTCGTCCTCCGTCACCTCAACGCTATCCACCTCCACGACGTGGTTCACCACCGCCAAGAAGTCGTAATGATCGAGACCGTCCTCCCGCTAGACAACAACGACAGGGTTATCAATCACCACCACCTCAATCGTCTAGTCGTCGACAACAGTCGAAAGAACCGCCGGCAAAACGCAGAAATGCTGATTCGTCACCTCGAAAACAAAAAGAACGACGTTATTCACGTTCGAGTTCAAGCTCATCAAAATAGGCAACTAAAAAAAGAGTATAGAAGAAAATTTGCTTTGTTTTGTTGGCAGTCAACTTTTCCTTGTTATTGATTAAGAAGAATAAAACTAGTGTCGATGTCTTTATGTTGTATGCAGATTACTGTGTTTTTCTTTGTTTATGACTGACTTGTCTAATTGTTACATGTATATAATAAACAGAAAAGGCTCAACCGTTTGTGTAACGAAGTCAGCAATGGTTTTTGTGATCAAGATTTCTCGTATTTTGTTTACTTTCTTTCGAACATAATTTTATTTCTGAGAAAATCATGCAAATGGCTAGAAATGGTATACTAATTATTTCGTATTTGGTGTCTTTCTATGAAAAACAAGTGGACGTTATTGTTGAGACGGCATGTGGACTTCGGACGTACGGCCGGTTTACAAAGAATATAGTGGCATTTCTTTTTATCAAGATTCTTTTGATAATATCCATTTTATTCTGTATGATCTGTCATGCAGTTTTCTTTGTTGAGAATCCGAATTGTTTAGCATGCAATTACTCTTGATTGCATGCATTCTTCAGTGCATGTTGTGTTACTCTGTGGCTCAATCTTAGAACAAAGCTATTTGTTTTCAGGCGTTAGATAAATGCCATTTTTTCCAAACTAATGAATGACTTAACTTCAAACTATCTTCATTCTAGAATCCGAATGAAGATACTCAATGGAATGACGTATTACGACAGTATAAAATCATACCAGATAGAGAAGAAATAAAAACTGAAGATGAAAGAATAGAAATTAATAAGGGTCAGTTTTAAACTGTTCATCAAATTTCATCTGGCTAATATGATTCTATTGTTTGCTTATTTAGCTCAAATACTTGATAGTAAAACAATTGATGAATTAGATGAACTTGAAGATGAAGAAGAGGAACGTGTGTTGCAAGAATACAAGTAATTTTAGAATAGAATATGATTGAAAGAATCTGAGTATTTTCTTTTTATTTTAGACGAAAACGTCTACAAGAACTTCGCGATAATGCTTCACGTGCACGATATGGTGAAGTTATAGAAATATCAGCGGTTGAATATATAAAACAAGTGAATCAAGCTGGTGAGGATGTATGGGTTGTTCTTCATTTGTACAAATCAGGGTATGTTGACTGAACTAACTGATTCAAATTCTTTCAAAAAAACGAATATATTTTTGTATTAGAATGCCATTATGTACACTAATCAATGATCATCTTCGTCAATTGGCCCTTAAATATCCAACAACAAAATTTTTAAAAAGTATTTCAACTGTTTGTATTCAAAATTATCCGGATAAAAATTTGCCTACAATATTTGTTTATAATAATGGTGAATTGAAAGATCAATTAATTGGTCCATTTGCATTCAACGGAATGAAATGTCGTTTTCAAGATTTAGAATGGAAGTTGTATGAATTTGGTGCTCTTGAAACAAAAGAGAAATTAGAAAAACCAGAAGGAATGATTGATGCTCGTAATAATGGAGATGCTGCAAATGAATTTTTGAAATCAGCTATTCGACAAAGTATGAGAGGTGACGACGATGATGATTAGTAAGAGAAAAAATTGAAGAGAATAAAGAGACAACATTAGAAAATGATTTGCTGTTCTATGATTGTTTTGCATGTGTTTTTTTGTTGTGCTTTGTTTGACCAATAAAATATAATTGCAATAAATAATTTTACATATAATTTAATTATACGTTTGATATATCAGACCACTCTTATTTTTTATTTATCTGTCTAAATTTTATTACATAGGCAGGTATGAGTACTTGTATCGAACATCATTTTGTCGGTAGGTAAGTTAACAGCAAATCATTTTTACTCTAAATATAAATGGCCTACAGTCAGACGTTTAAAACACACTTTAACATATGTTTCTACAATGGTCATACTGTTTTTATAGGAGAAATACATTTGATGTACCGGTATACCGGATATGTTTCTGAATAGAATACGCACTTTTTATGTGCTATTGTGTAGCTAAAAAATGTTTTCTTGATATTCTACTTAACATGGTGTAGATGTCAAGAAAACTGACATGACCCTTAATCATGGCTACGCTCTACAATTTTTTGAAATCTGAGATCTATCTTTCATCGTTCTCAAATGGTGGCAGTTTTTCTAGAAGTACCAGAATTATATAGACTAGAAAATTGTTGGAAACGTAGGTTACCAAACCTATTGAATCTCGCGTCTGTTGTTTGTTTTCGGATGAAAACGAAAAAATCTAAAATATGGTGTTTTCGAAGCAAAAAACGCCCTTATATTAATCACGCAGGATCTTGAAACCACGCAGTCCAATCCAAATCACTTGTGATTTTATAGAACATAGTCGAGTTAGCATCTTGGTCTATCTATACAGCCGGGAAACGGTAAAAGTATATTATTTTCTAAGAGTTACCAGAAATCTAGCTAATAAGAATGATAGTCCATATTTGTATTCATTTTCAAGGTCATTCAAAAGCATCTAACTCTGAGATTCAGATATCCCATAGTTTGAAGATTCGTATTTGCACGAATGTTTAGACAGCACTTAGGATTACAAAGACACACAAAGACATGTTTTACCAACTTAGTTTTCATAGAACAATTTGTAAAAAACATAATAGAAAGATGAATGAAATTTAGAACAAAATGAACGTCTTGAAGTATTATTAATAATGATTGATAAACTTGGAATAACACAACGAATTACTGGACCATTGTTGATGAAGTATTTTTAGCTCGGGTAAATAAATAAATAATACATGTGCTGAAAAGACAGAAAAGGAGTGCTGTACAGCATTTCATTATTATGATTTAAACAAATTTTTTTTGCATTATATGCCATATACGAAGGAAAAGATTCTTTTAGATTAGTGATCGACTTGTTTTTGTTAGCGATGTTTCGGGAAACAGATGGTAATAATATAAATTGACCAAGCTCTATATAATCGATGCATGGTTGAAGCTAATACATCCAGAATTTGAACCTGTACGTGGAATAATGCAAGGAACATGTATAGAGTAAAATTTGGATGTGCTGTTTTGTAGGACAATTTCTTAATAGGCTGTAATACTAAAATGAACATGTTGCATTGGATCGATTTTTGTATGTGGAAACACCCAGACATTAAAAAGAACCTAGTATCGCGCGATTTATCAAGACTACTAGATTTTTACTCGATTGCAACTATTTGGTAATGACAGTGGAAATCTAGTAATCCAGCCATTACTAGATTTCTCCTCAGTTGCAACTATCCATTGATCCACCCGATACTCGAGCGATTTAACTAGTGCTAGTTGCACACATGCAGACGAATCTAGTCAAAAGTCTCTTTTCCAACTAGTAATCTAGATGACACCTAGTCGTGCATCGCCCGATTACAGATGAAATGTACCTAGATTTTTTCCATAGGTGATTTTTGCTTGGACAGTAGCAAGATCTATTTTTAAGCTAAGATATTCGGTTGGTGGAGGGATAAGGTCTAACGAACACAACTCGATATGCTAGCTTAAATACGCATCAAAGTTTTGAATAGGGAAGGACGCAAAAAACAAAAACGTGAGATTACATCAGCCGAAGTCACGAAAAATTACACTGTAAACAATTTGGTATACTTTTACATAAAACTTTTTACAACTAATCTCTGTAACGGTAAGTTTCATAATTGCTTCTCATCATATTCATAACAAACATGTTTCTTATTTCCCTTAAAAAATCTTGTAAGAAAACCATTAGTAAAAGCGCTAAGGTTGTGAGTATATCACTTCAACTCTTCNTCATATTCATAACAAACATGTTTCTTATTTCCCTTAAAAAATCTTGTAAGAAAACCATTAGTAAAAGCGCTAAGGTTGTGAGTATATCACTTCAACTCTTCTGCTTCTCAATCTTAGGAGGAATTTTACAATAATATTGCCCGTTATTGATTATTTGAAGACATCAGAATTTAACGAAAAATCTGACTGCGATTAATATTCAGCCGTTGTGAAGATTGCTTTCTATTGAAAGAAGGTACGCTTGTCATTGATACAGAATAGCTAAACGTACACACGACATATTAGATTCTGAAAAGTTATAAATGCCGCTAAATGACACTTTTAGCATTTGAGAGGTTGAATCGCTTCAAGAAGAATTAAAGGCAGTTTCGTAACCAAATATTTTCAGAAAGTAAGAAATCTAGAATCTTTGAAGGTGTTTTTATTGTCATGTATTTGACTTTATCCTATTACCTTTTTTGTTTTCAACAATTCACCCATATTTTGCTTCGATCATGCAGTAAACCCATTCTCTTCTCTTCTTTCATCATTTTATTCTTTACATGCATCTGAAGCTATAGAAAGTTTTTGAATTGTTTTCGTCTAGCGCCTACGGTCATTTGTTTTCCCACGCACAAGTCATTTTGTTTGCTATTTTATGGGAATTACAAAAAACTATGCGAGAAACAATCAATTCTTGCAGACATTCTTTTTTATTTCAATTATGCTTCTTCTAAAACAAACGTCTTGACTCATGTAGACAGATGAATGATTAAAGAACATACAAATATATGTATATATATATATGTGTGTACACTATTCCAATTGTTATATTTTTACTTTATGGCTCCTGCTTTTGTGTGTTCAAGTGGTAAAGTTAAAAATTGTTTATTAATAGGTCAGTAGAGAGCTGTGTGTAAAATCATTTTCTTCTTTTCCTCTTAGTGTTATAGTGTGTCATATATCGAAAGCAGCCTCATAGTTTTTGAAGGGTATAACATGCTCATTCATCAGTAACACTCTTCGCATTATTCGAGAGAGAATTCTGCTCTTATTCTGGTGATTTAGCTGTTGTGGAACTTCAAACATCGCATGCAGTGACGTACCCAGGATTTCGGTAAGGGATGGATGACTTTCTAAGTTTTCGTGCTGAGCTGCGAGGGTTCCAATTTCTTTTTTTAGACGTTTTATCGTAGTAGTTAGTAAAGTATTCAACACGTAGTGTATACATATTTAGTGTTATTTTTTTAGAAGTTCGAAATGTAGAGTTTAAAATCTAAACACATTCAGTTGTTTGTCACTACCTTAGTTTGTAATCGAAACGCTTTACTCGTCTGTCAATTTCATTCATCGTTTCTCTTTTGTAAATTCATCGATCATTTCATCTATATTCAGATTACTAACTATATCTCTACCACTATATACATGCAATACAGCTAGATTACTTAATCGTTCATACCGGTTCTATTTCGTATTTTCGTTCCTTTTAATTTCATTGTTAAGAACGATGTTTTAGCTATATAGCACACACTGGAAGAATTTCAAATAAATGCATCAGTATGCAAATATCAGGACAGAAATCTTTGACTTTCTCTATCGCTTTTAATGTATCACTGATATTTGATAGTCGTTGATTCTCATTTTTTTACTCCATGTATATTTCCATAGTACAAATTCACTTTGAAATGTTTCTATATCATCAGTTACCAGATCATCAATATGATATCCAAAAATACTTTGGATTTTAGCATCAAATGTATGATTTGATATTTGATGGTATCAGAAATGCTGTAAAAAACGATATGATAATTCATCTAATGCTGTTTGAATAAACGAATCATATATCGTTTTAAAATAATCCATAACAGATGAAAATGGATTTCGTCGTTCTAAGACCATTAGAATATCATGTAATTTTGTGAAATGTTAAAATTCAGTATACAGGTCGTCTAGTTGTTTTTTTGTCGTACACATAGCAATCGATACTTTTTTCTCTCCCAAACGAGTATCACAATGTTTCTACATTTTGTATCATTTGTTGTTCTTCAACACACTTTCGTAACGTTGTTTTTCGCTTTGGTGATGCGTTAATAAATTTAATAATAGCTTGCACACTACCAGAAAATAATGTAATCAATTGAATTGATTAAATTATTTTACTGGCAATCAGTTTATTTTGTATTTCTGGACCCATATACTAATCATTTTGTGCACAATTTTTTAAATGATTCACTAAAACTGCATCACCGTCTGCAGCACTAAATAAAATAAGTTCTCGAAAATTTCTTTGACTTGAATTATTGATTGTTGATTCCGGGACACTATCGTCGTCATGTCCTTGAAAATGGATGTTTTTTTAGCGAACAGAAGAATAGATTTAATAATACTGTGTAATTTTTCTATTTTCATTTTGTTGTTATGTTTCTGTTGTATCTAGAACCTGAACAACATCTTTACTTGGGTTGTTGTACTGTTAAGCAAATTCTGATGCTTATGGTTCAGATAATTGACGATATTATGTTTTTTCGTAATCTCATAAGAACTCCACAGCATTTTCCAATGATTCCAATCGTTTGGTTACTAGATGACCTAATTGATCATGAGAAGATGTGTGTCAGAGTTGGAACCGTTTGAAAAAAACGCAATCGGATCGGATCGGCCGTTAACGGCCGATTAAAAAATTTTTCTAAATCGGTAAAAACCGGTCTAAAAAAGTTTGATTATTTTCTAATGATATTTGTTTTTCAGTGGTCTATGCCACTAAAACACACAGTGTGTCCTTGTAACCATCTTTCAAGAGATGAAAATATAGGCACTTATCGACACCAAACTTCGAAATGTGTCACAGCTTCCAAGTCGACATCGAAAAGCTTGGTGTGAGTCCGATGAGCTCACTATGAGAATAAGATACTCATATACACACTTTCACAACACGAACAGTTCTGACCGATATATTTCTTTATACTATTTTGTGGACAAAGCAGAAAAAATACAGAAAAATGAATAAGTCGTAACTAATTACTATGTGTTCATAAATACATGTATATTCCTAATTACTCGTTGAATGCACAGCTGAATTTTCCTTCAAACCCTTCTTAAAACTATAGGTGTTATTAGGGGAAAGTACAAGTCAGTTTTGTTTCTGCTATTGAAAATTACACAAAAAAAGCAAATTTTTTTTTTGAAATTCTTTTTGCTGAAAAAATGATTTGAAAAGAAGGAAAACCTCAGAAAAGTTTTATAAAGATAAATCGGTAAAAAAACGGCCGATTGAAAAGTTTAATCGGAACGGATCGGATCGGACGTTAACGGCCGACCCGATACCGATTTACCGATCCGGTTCCAACTCTGATGTGTGTCTAGGAAATAAAATACAATATTGACATATTATATCTTTTAATAATGGCCAATAACTAAGCCACTTCGGCTTTTCTAACCACGAGTGTTTACATAAAGGTCTCTTTCTATCGTACAATTCTAATTTTGGAAATTCTTCATATCGATGTGACACATAAGGATTTGTTAGAACATCATGTAGAACCGTTCAATTTGTCGTGATATTCGTATTAATATAACTACTAACATCATGAACATACTTTTGTGATGATGTTGTCATACTTTTCGACGTTGTCGAATCTACTGGTACTATTTTATCATTTTCGTTAATGAGCTGAATTGTTGATGATGAGCTGGATTCTACTGTTATCTGGCGATTCATCATTCATAGAACGATGTCTTTTTATATATGATGACAAATCTGTGGTCATTTCTGCTAATGGTATATACGTTGATTCATTAAGGTCAGTTAAAATTATCTCACAATATATGTTTGAACTTCTATCTTCTTAATCATCGCCAATTTTTGGTTTTTTGAACCATTTATCAAGGGTACTTCGTTTCTTATTCTCATGTAGTTCACGCTGTATTTTTTTCTTTATTCGAAAATACTGTTTACAATTGGAATTACTTCCACAGATAACAGTGTGAGAAACAACGGTGTTCATATTTTTGTGTTTTTTTCATAGATAAAATTATAAATATTTCTAGATTCTTTCTTTTCCTTACGTACAAATGTGCGTGTTTTTGAAGTTAGTTTTCGTATCGTTAGTAATTTGAAAATGACCATTTATAAACAGATCGAAATACTATATACAATCCACTGGATTAACTATTAAGTTTATATGGAAATCGTTGTACCTAAGCTCTACTCATTTTTATTTTCATCTTCAAGTAAAATAATTTCGAACGTTGGGAAATCGAAACCTCTAATGGTCAATACTGATCCTGATCCCGTGCTGGATACGCTGCTGATCACATGTAACTGTGATAGACATGAATAAAAATTCTATAAATTATAAAAATAATTTTGACTACAGGTGTATGACCTATCCACTAATACCGTAAAACGTAAAATAATGCAGCCATATTCTAGAATAATTTATTCATTCTCTTTTTTACTAGCCTCTGATCTTTTCTTTTCGTATTCGGCTTAATTATTTTTCGGATTTAAATATCATGAAAAATATTTGAATAACTTGACCTCACACACACATTTTATCCACAGAGATCAATACACATATAATCGTACTTTATTTCTTTTTTTTATATACACTGTGAATAATATCTAGGGCCGATTGAGAACATTAAAAATCGTTCGGATTGTTAGACAATAATGAATAGAAATATTCATTAGTCACATCATAGAATAAGATCTTTTCTTGTACATTTTCGCTTTATCTCAGAATGAAAATAGTTTTCAATAAAGTAATAGGAGTGAGTCAGTATTTGGATTTTTTTCTATGCGTCATTTAGTGTTCTGTTGCTTCCCAATTACTCAATTACTCAATTAAATACGTCATTTATTGAAATAAAACCTGATGAAGAAGTAACTTCTTGAAGGGTAGGATTTATCTTGCACATTTGTAATATATCACAAACACTGGAATCGTACAATAGTGAACCGAAGGTGTATACTTTCTGACTAAATTTTTAGTGATTAAATTAGTGTATTAGAGTGTCTTTACAAAAAATCACTCGCTAACATAACTTAGCTATACTCACCCTCACTCCCTCACAGGAGAAGACGCGTTTTTTCCAAAGAAAACAGTAGAATAAATGCATATTTTGACGATCTAGTATGGCTTATGTAGACTATCGTGTAAGACTAAAATAATATGTGTTGCCAATTTTCTTCTAGTAAAAGTCAGAGTGGATACGCACAGGTATGGAAAATAAAAATTTTCAACTCTCATAGACACATGTTATCATCGATTTGAAAAGAAGAAATAGAAGAAACGTTGGTTTTCTCACTTCTAAGACATATGTCGTCTAGTGTAAAACTGAAATAGATAAGTTTTTCTATTGAAATAGAATGAAGTAATTTTTTATTTAGAAAACTAATAAAATATGAGTGCACAAGTCGTTGAATCACATAATGTATTACCATTTAATGCTGAATTAATCAATAAATATTCAAAATATGTTAAAACGATATCTAAACGTGTTGTTGAAGGTAAGATTATTGATTTTATTTTTAAATTCAAGAAAACAAATATAGAAAACAACCTGATGTATTGTGTACATATCAAGACGACCATGTTGATTTCACATTAAAGAATGGAAGAAGTAATTAAATGGAAAACTTAATTTATCTATTTTGTGTATACTTTTAGTCGAATTTTGTTGGTTTCAAAAAGATCCGAGACAAAGTTTTAACATGCGTATGACAGAAAAACAATTTGAAGAAGCAAAGAAAAATATTCGATCAAAAAGTAGATACAAAACTAATGTATAACAAAATAATATAATTTATATTCTATTTAGAACTTCTTCAAATGAAATTTGAAACATTTTCCGACTTAATTGCTGTTGTTTTTGCAAATGATGCTGATATTGACACGTACACATTACGAAATACATTTGATCATCTTTTTGATCAAAATAATAACGGAACAATAGAACGGGAAGAATTTGAATCGTTATTAACCTTACTGCAAGCATTTCATCATGAAAAACATCTACAAAATAATTTTCAATTAACAGAAAGTTTTAGCCGAGTATTTGAAGATAGAAATAACCATATCAGTTTTAAAGGTAAGATAGGTTGAATTTATGTTGGTCATAATAGAATCAATTTTAACGACTTTTTCATTTTAATTTTAGATTTCTGTGATTTTGTTAGAAAAGGTTATGTTCGAGAATTATTCATGCGCTAATCGACTATATTATAATTATAGACATTTTGTTGGTGTTCATTCATGTTCCTTCTTTGAAAGAAAAATATGTCAAGGATGAGTGGTAGATGATAAAGTCGTAAACTCAAGTGTTATCTAAATGCAAAACACTGTTTGTCTGTTTGTTTGTTCTGTTATTTTTTCTGTGTTAGTAAGTTTAAGTTAATTCTGTTTTTTTTTTGTATATAAGTATAAGATATATATATATATAAGTGTTAAACATATTAATAAAATTGATGGCTGCTAATTTAGCGAAACGAGCAACAGCCCTTATTACAGGCAGTACTAGTGGAATTGGCCATGATTTAGCGAAAGGTTTTGCAGCTAAAGGTTATAATATTGTGGTTAATGGTACGCGAAAGGAAGGATACCAAATAGCTGAACAGTTAAAACTCGAACATAACATCGATGCCATCTATTTACCAGCTAATATGAAAAATGCTGATGAATTGAACACAGTTGTGGAAAAAACATTAGAAAAATTTGAACGAATAGATGTTTTAATCAATAATGCTGGTGTTCAGTATGTTGCACCTATCGATGAGTTTCCAATTGAAAAATGGCGTGATATTATTGATATTAACTTAACATCAGCATTTGTATTGTCAAAAGCAGTATGGCAACAAATGAAAAAACAGCATTTTGGAAGAATAATAAATATGGTAAAGTATCTTCATTGATATTTGTGCAGCAAGTGACTTATTTACGTCTCTCTTAGGCGTCAGTTCATTCACTCGTAGCATCCGAATATAAAACAGCGTACGTTTCTTCAAAACATGCGCTTATTGGTCTCACCAAAGTATTGGCTCTTGAAGGAGCTCCTCATGGAATTACTGTAAATTCACTTTGTCCTGGTAAGTTAGTTTGTAAGTTTCTTGAGAGTTCAAATAGTTACAAATATCCAATTATTTTAGGCTACGTAAGAACTCCATTAGTTGACAAGCAAATTCATAATCAAGCTAAATATCATAATATTAGTGAAGAAGATGTCATTAGTAAAATATTGCTTACAAAACACGCTATTAAGGAATTTGTTACTACAGATACATTGACAGAATTAACATTGTTTCTCGCTAGTGCACAAGCAAGTACAATTAGTGGAACAGCCATACCAATCGATTGTGCATGGAGTTCCAGTTGATAATATTATTATTTTGCTCGTCTATATGGCTCAAATAATAAACATAATGCAATGCTAAGTGCATGCAAAACTTATTAACGTTTTCTTCAGAAATCAGACGTGTTCGGAAGTTTTCTCGTAAGAGTAACAATCAGTAAACGAATATTTTGTACTATATGTTGAGCAAAACAGCAATCTTCGTTGTGTGTGGAGACGATTTTCTATAATGCAGTGATTGTCTTTTTCTTCCGCTGTAAAATATAACAAAAACGCATTGAAGTGATCGTATATCTTCCTTTATACTCTGTGTAAAGTCAAATTTTAGTCAAAATTTTCAAATGTCATAGAATTGTTCTAAAATGGCTGATATTGTCTATTTCAACGAGCTTTCAACTAAAAGGAAATAAATTCGTTGATATGTAGTTGAGACTCATTTCGCGATCTTATATCATGTTATGAATATACGAAAATTCATCCGCGAGAAAAATTCAATTTTCAGGATGAAAACTGGTTCAATATTAGTAGAAAGAATAGAAAATTAATTTTTTCATACAACTATCTAACGTGATAGGTTCAACCACCGGGTATGCGACTGCTGATGCGTATATTGCGAATCCTGGATTTTAAGAACCATGGTAACGTTGGAGTTTCAAACTTGTGCAGGTATAGTCGAGACGATATGCTTCTTCTATATACCAATTACTTAAACAAGAATATTTATCTAAGGAGGATGGTAATACCTGAAAATTTTTCCTCTGCATATCTACATTTCATTGATGGTATGTGAATAAAAAGAAAAATAACCGAGAATAACAAACAGCTAAAAAGAATACAAAAAATAGCGCGCGCACTGCAAACAAAAGAAAGACAGAATCTTTAATACGTTTAAATAAAACGTTTTGTTTTTATAATATATTTATTGATGAAAAAACTTTAAAACTAAGATGTTTTGCTAAACAGATAATATGGCGGAACCGTTAAGAAGAAAATGGATCGACAATGGACATTGAGATGAAACAAGATAAGACAACATTAATATTCAACAAAAGCTCAGATCTTTCATCTGAGTATCTTTACAATGTAGAAAATAATATTTAGCTGTTTCGAGAAGTTTTTATTTACAATATAGATTAAACTGAATGTAGTTTATTTTCTCCTGATCGACAAGCAAAGAGCTGAAACCCAATCACATTCGTGTCATTTGAGAAACGTTTAGCCTGTCATCTTCGCTGAACCATGGAAGAGAACATAAAGGAAAGTAAAGAGCAGTCTTTAATCGAGTAAAGAATTCCCCGATAGCGAGTAGAGAACGTAGATTATGTGAAAGGTTGTTCTAGTCGTCTATTATGTGAACTAACACGGATTGATTTGGGTAATTTGTGTTAGCCATTAGTTTAAAAATATCTAAAGATTAAGAACGTCTCGTCATCATTAATCGTATAATTGATTAAGAACGTATTTTACAGTCGTTCTTCTCATTTTCAAATTTACTTTTTATGTAAATGTGTATCTGTATAGACAATAGCATTAATATATAACAAAAAAAACATTTGTAAAACAAAAACAAAACAAAGTAGATCACATATTTTAAAAAATTGATCAGATGTAGAGCAGTCATACAAAAATCACTGAGTTTAGATCATAATTAGATCACAAAAATAGAAAAAGTATATTGTCCTTTCTTTATATATCCTATTTAAAACAGCGAAATAATGTTGTTGAACTCTAATAGAGATATTTTGAACGAATTAAATTCAAGTTATTAAATAGATAAATCAGAAATGCATTAGCTCTTTTTTAATTGGTCACTAAATTTCATCTATACTGTAATTGGAAGATCCAATTTGATTTTTAAAAAAGAAAAAAACAGGAAACAACCTGTTATTGAAGCATTCTTGAGAAACGTCTTAAGGTTGAACAATATTGCTGACATCAGCATCCGTCAACTTTAGGTCTCATTTACAGTTTTGTTAAACTCGTGTATCGAGTGTATTTGGATGCCATGAATTTGCATAGCTAAATGGATAATAAATGTCAAGAGTACTTTTCTCTCTATTTGATTTATTCCGAATATGACTGCTACTATTTACTATCGATGATTGTATTCGTTTATAGTTCATTTTTTCCACTTTTAATTGTTTATGTAAGAAATGGAGTTCATCTGATAATTGTTCTTGAACAGAATTTTCATCATATTGTTTTAAACGAAATATTTCATAACGACAGTAACATTTTGTCCAAAAAACAATGTTAAATAAACGCCAATCTACAATTAAATCATTTAAAAATATTTGTGGTGATTCAATATTTTCAAAATCTAATAATGATGCTTCATTTAAAGCATCGACTGTTGGTGCACGTAGAGTAACTGCTAAGGATAATGAATAATCATTTATCATCGATGGTTTCTCTGAAACAGGTGTACTGGTCACATGTTGTGATGGTCCCAGTGGTGCTTCGAAATAAACACTTTTATAATTGTGTCGATTAACTCCTGGAACAGTTTGTTCAATATTATTCGTATAGGATAATGATTGTCGGTGGTGTCTATTTGGTGTATAAGTTGTAGAAGCTGATTGAGGATAACGAAGTGTGGGCGTCATGTATGGAACAGTAACTTCAGTTGATGTTGATGGCAATAAAGAAGATGAAAATATTGATGCTTCATTTCGAAGTGATCGACATATATTAGAATACAAATATAATGAAAAATCAAATGTCGATAATAATAATACATGGGGTGGACAATTATTCATTGCATCAAGACGTTCATTAACGTTATTAAACACAAATGTATGATGGTAACAATAACAAACACTACGATATAATTCAATAAGTAAATCGTCTGTAAATTCGAATAAAAATGGATTTTGAACAATTAACTGATATACACAATCAAGAAACAAAAGAAATAATGGTGACTAAATAAAGTAAAATAAAACTAGACTTCTTAACATGGTAAAAGAGAAAAACTTTTTGCACCTCTTGAGCTGACTGTGATGTGTTATCATATCCAAATCGTTCTCGAAAATGATGACCACGTGTTATCCATTCTTTTACAATCAATTCACAAAAACCTTTGATTGTACGACATTTTGGACGCAATAAAATTTGTATAAGCGATGACATCAGACAACTATTATCATAATCACTGCCTAAACAACAAATAATAGGTGAGAGAACGTTTTGATGAGAGACAAACTGTCATACCAGCTAATTCAATATGTTTGTAATCCAATACCTTGGCTAATAATGCAGCACCATGTAATGCATTTGAAACATATTTTAACCATTTACATACATTCAGTTTTGATAACCACTTTTCATCCTGATCTTCTAGAAAACAAAAAGATCAACTTGAGCTATTAAAATAGGATAAAAATCAAACCTTACCTGCAGGAATCAAGCATATTTCTAATAATTTTTCATAACTTGCTTGCAAACGTTTTAAATTACATGGAAATTTTGATAAATTATAACGTTGAAATTCTTGTGTAGCATCAGATGACGGGTGATGGTAATGATGGGATGAATAATTTAACGTGGTTAAACGAGAATCGGTTGTTATTCGACGCAAACTAAATAAAATGGATAAAGCGATTAAAACTTAAGGTAAAAAAATATTCGATACCACAGCCATAATCGCATGTATATCTGAAGAAGACGTATTTTGCAAAACCACAAGTGTCCTCGCTGTTTGTCCTGATATCAAGAATAGTATTAAATACTGTTTAGCGTGAAACAAAATGCGCAGCGCTTCGGATAAACGTTTGGTGATAGTAAGAACGACTTCATTTGTAGAGAAAATATTCATCTACTATCTGACATTCTAATAAAATGTTTTGAAGCCATAGTTAAGTAGTAAAAGGTAGAGTTTCAAACCACAACGAAGAAGATATCAACAAATTGACATGTATGTTCATTTCACATATTTTAATCATGTAACAGGTGAATTTTATGTTGCTAGTTTTTCTTTCCATCAAGAGCTTGAAATGTCAAGTTATGTCGAATAAAATATTTTGATTATTTTTTTTCGGTAAAAATATTATTTTATTGTACTATTGGTCGTCTGATTCTAGTTCTTATTTATAAAAATATTTTTAATTGTATAATCATAACTGTGGAGAGAAGAAAAATAGGCTTAAGTGATCTAATACAATTCATTTGTTGTTGTTTTTTAATAAAAAGGTTACATACGGATCTCTTCCTTCTGATTCTGGTGGTATATCAGGTACAGTAACTAACATGCGTTGTTTACGATAATTGTTTTCCGAGGGTAGAGATGTATGCGTCCAATGCCAAATCTAAAATAGGTAACATTTTTTCTATAAACATTGCATATGAAACGCATGTGAGAAAAATTGCAGAAGATTATCTAATTGTGTTTTGAATTAAATTTTTTGTTATAATTATTAAAATATCTGAAAAAGATTTTTTTTTCCACATTATTTTAACGAATAAACACATGTCTAATGAGTTGAAAGATACGACAGCTGGACAATGATAAAGATAACTATGAGCAGTGTTAGTAAAAGAAAATAAAGAAATGAAAACAAATCCTGTTATTTTTACCAAACCTCGTGTTCCTTCTTTCCGATTAAGTCGAACGAATGGACCATCTCTAAATAAAGAGAAAAATCAATACTATATAATATAGTGAAAAAATAATTTTTCTTACTCTATCGCAATATTTCTTTCATCGAATTTTTCTCTATCAACGACCCATTGTTCTTCATTAGCATTATCTAATTCAGATTTCCAGTCTGAATACATCAGATAGCTCTTAATACGTTCATCTTCACTGAAACGAAAATCTAAAATAAAATCAGTTTTGTTTCATATTTTATCTATGAGATGGATGTGTTCATTGAACAAAAATCGTACACTGAACAGAAGCTTTCTAAATTCTTAATAAATAAAGTGATGATACTAAAGCTACAAACTGATCAGAAGAGATGAGATGGCTTGCAGTAAGGAAAAAAATATGCTCAATTTTTTTTTACACAAAGTATCGATCGCTAGCATTTTTTTCTGGCCTGATTTACCTGAGTCTTCATCAGAAATTGATCGTTTCACCCAAGAATTATGTCTTAAATTGGAAACATCATATCTCTTCCCCATATCAATAGTGCTTCGACTGAGTGCTAAATATGGATACAACTGTTCTTTTTCTTGATATTTACTACTGAATTTCAATGCATCGATATACTAAAAAAATAATATTTATTGCTTGTTGTAATGAAAGAAAGTATTCTTACCGTTTCCATTTTTGTAACCGGTAATTGTTGTGATGCATGACTATTAGACTTTATAACCAAACATTTTGTAAATGTAACCATTCGAAAATCCTAAAATAATACATAAAAAATAATTTATTTTAACAACATATTCATGAACATACTCTCGTTATGATTGTAAAACTTCGTGTTTCAGATTTAATTTGATCTTCATTCAAAAATGATTTGAATCCAGTACGAGAATCAACAGCTAGACAGAAAAACAAAATAATTTAAATTAATTGAAAATAATGTTCTCATGTGAAACAAAATTACTTACGAGCAACATTAATTTTATATATTGATGTCAACGGTATATCATATTCTCCAATAAATTTGTTTCCCGAAGAAAACTGAAATAAATAAAAGTAGAATATAAAATTTTCCATGTTTAATATGATATATTTTTCTATTATACATCAGTTGTGCTTGTGACTACAGCATTGTCTGGAGCAAATACAAGACGGAATGTTGTTAAATACAATGTACCCGATAATTTATCAAATGTACTTTCCGTATAATCAACATTTCTAACATGTAAATTCAGTGGAATCTCTTGTGGAAGTAACTTTCGAATAATTTTAATTAACTAGATTAAACAAAACAAAAAACAAATAGATAGATTTAGCAGTAATTATACATATCTACCTACTTCTGGAAAAACATCGGGTAATGTTTCTTTTATATTTTGATTAGATTCAACAATGTTCATAGTTTCGTCATACATGGAAATGATACATGTTGTTTATTATTCCAACGAGAATCAAAGCTGTTTTTATTAAATATCATAACGATTCATTTTTATCTAAAGATAAACACAGTCAAATTTACATTATATGTTTGTTCTACAAGTAGATTTGAACTGTTCCAGAACGAAAAAGACAGACGACAGACTAGTTATATTTTCGTACATTTTTAAAAAGTTGGATCTGCACTAAAGGAGCTAGAAAATAAGGTAGACAACTATAGCTGGTACATGTGCTTCAATTAATCTGATAGTAGTATTTAATGCCTCACAGAAATCAGTTAAAGTGGAAGGATAGAATCGACACAATTATAAGCAAGTGTATAATTTGAATATAACAAAAAAAGAAGGTAAGTTCCAAATGGACAGCAGTACTAATCGTCATTTTAGAGTACCAGTAACAAGCATTAGAAAATTGGTACAACTCTCTTTTCTCAGATTGTTAATAAAATACTTTTGTCACAGCTGCAAAAGAATTGTCAACGCAAACTGGAAGCATTGAGTTGTGTTGTTGTGTCCGAAGTCTAGTAGAAGTTCGGAAGGGAATTTTCCTTCTATTCTTCTTAGCGGATGAAAATTTTTAACGATGCTGGTGCTGAAATAGTATCGGCCAAAGTAGAGAAAGACTAAAACTAGTACCTCAATTTTTTTTTTCGATTATTGCTGCCTTTTGCTAACGTTTGTATACATATCATCTTAGTATACTTGTAATGTTTACAATGTCTTGTTCACTTCTGTACGTCATTAGTCAATGAACTGGAACAATTTTCAAGAATCGATTAGTTGTGTTATTTAATTAATCATCGTTTAAAATAGCCTTAACTAAACAATTTTCTAAGTAATTTATCAATCACGTTCTTAGTCAGTTTAATTTTCTTTTTCTTTCATTTATTGTTTATCTTATCATCGTTTCGCTTGAGTCATTAATATCTCGGATGAAAGATCTTTGGTAGTTCTCACTTCATGAATAAACATAAACAGCATCCATTGCAAGAGACAAAAGTTGGTTAACTTCAACCGTACGAAAAGAAAAGCCAAAAATCTCTGCAAAATAATAAACTTAATTAATAACAAGAATAAAAGAATCAAGCAGGGCTTGATAGGGTGCTACATCTTTGAGCATTACAACCATGCGAGGATTCGAAGAAGTACTTCCATGCAACAGAATCGTGTTTTTGATAGTCAACGATGCCATATTGTCATTTTGCACATTTTTAAAATTGTCAGTTAGTTTTCGGCTAGCGTTCTCACTTATTTTTAACTTAGGGACCAGGGGCCTGTTTCTTAAAAAAACTTAAGTAGAAAATCTTACTTAAGTCAAAAAAGACAAAGACTTTTTTGGACTTAAGTCCAAAAAAGTCTTTGTCTTTTTTGACTTAAGTAAGAAGTCTTTTCTACTTAAGTTTTTTTAAGAAACAGGCCCCAGTTTCTCAAAAAAAACTTAAGCATAACTTAAGTGAAAAATTTGACTTAAGTCAAATTTTTTAGCTAAGTGTGCTTTTTAAACATCACTTAACTTAAGTCGCCTATCGATCTCACTTAAGTTGAAAACTTAAGCTTATTTAAGAAACTGACCCCAGGCGGCTATAATATATTGAATATACTACCGCGAAGCAAGCTTTACATTTTAGAGTTTCAACGATTTGTAAAAATATTTAAGCGATGAATCATCAGTAACGAACCGCTGCCGTATGCAGATGTCACTCGCTCGTAGCTAGTCGATTTCGTAAAAAATGTGGCGATTGGAAGTTAATTTCAACAACTAAATATTTTACCGTGCTAATCATAAATTTGTTTACATAAACAAATAAAAAAACGGTTAAATGTTACCAGTAAACACTAGGAGTAAATCGTTACAAACAAACTTAAACGTCAAAAAATTACATTGATTATAGAGCTTTACTCCTTTGCATTTTGACCAACACAAAGAGACTTTCGTCAATGTGGTTCGATGCTGACTTGGTACTGGATTACAGAAATGCGACACAAGCCTATATACCATAACGAGGAAAAACGAATGAGAGTTTAAGTGTTTCTATTTGTCTTTGCAAGCGAGCTCTTTTCAATAAAAAGGGTTAAGATTACCGTTAATATTACCCATGGAACTGCTGAGGTAGATCACTTTTTTCAATTGATCCACTCTCTACCTTAAAATTTTATTGGATAAGCAAGTTCGGTATATGAACAATCTCACCTCAGATTTATTTACTATTTTGATTTACAAGATTGACAGAAATTGAGTTGAGATTGTGAATAAATATGAATGTGATTTCAGCTTTAATTACTATTATGATTTAACAGTCCCTTATTTTCCTTTTATGTAGAAATTTTTTTATCTTCTATATTTTTTTCAAGAGCTGCTAGACGAGAAGTGGTGTGATCATTAAAATCATGGTTAATGGACAAAGAACTTTATTTGAATGTTTCTCAAAAACAACTAGATCAATCCAATCGAAACCAAACAACGAAGGTTAGTCTTAGTTTTTCATGTACAAGTAGCTTCTTTTAGCGGACCTAGATCACTTAGTGTGTTTACAAATCGTTTCTCGAGATGTACGAGCCTCGATGCAACAGAATGTACTCTGCCATAGTGCGATTATGGTAACGAATTAAAAAAAAATGTTATTATTTTTGTAGCTGTCCAAGAAGTATCTTCAACAATTCTCAATAATACTATTCTGTTGTCGTCACCTTCATCGCCAAAATTACTTCAAGAAATTTCTAGGCATGAGGAAGATTTTATAGCGCCAATTCACATTCGACAAATGTCAGCTTTTCCTGGTTTGTTAAGGAACATAGTCATCTTGAACGACTGAAATCAGATAACTTTTTTTCTAATTCAGCAACTGAATCTCCCTCTCAAGAGAGATATTTGGATAGTGACGATGACTCACATTCACTGAAGTGTGTAATCGATAATCAAAATATGGGCTTATTACAGCTAAACTTAGAAGAAAAATCTAGTCATTTTATTTCGGTACGTGATTCTACGTCTTATTGAAGAAGAATGCCTATTTTGTTATTTCTTTTCTATTTAGATTAAATATATTCAATCGCCGAACGAACGTGATTGTTTATTTCAACAATATACTAGCGAATTACCATCAACTTATCAACTCTATAATTGGAATAAAATGTTCGAAAATTTAAAAGAATATAAAAATGAAGCTCATGAGCAAGGTTAAAAATAAATATTCATATTTTTCTCGTTTTAATCTATATTCGTTTATTTCTTAAAGATCTGTACGATCAACTTTCATGGACAGATGTTTATCGTCCAAGGCATTCGTTAACATATATTGGTAATTATGAACAAGTTGAACGGGCAAAACAATGGTTTTGTTACTGGAAAAACACGCTAAACAAACCTTCAAGTCAAAAACAACAGAAAAAACGGAAACGGAAACATCAATCAGATGATGATGAAGATGAGACTGGATCCAAAAGAAGAAGACAAGCAAATTCAGATGATGATTTTATTGACGATTCAGGTAAATATTCTATAAAAGTACGGCGGTCAATTGTTGGTCATTTATTCTCTATAACGTTTCTCTCTCACAATTGATTGAGAACCTGATCAGATGACCAAAAGAAAAGTTATGGCAAATATTGCTTGACAAGGTAGGAACCATTGAGAAACTATCATGGCTTCCTGTATGACAAGCAGACAGATCAGAACACAGTTGAATAGAGTTGAAGATGTTCTTTATTAATTATCAAATATATCTTTATTATTTAGAATAATAATCAAAGAAAACTATCTATTTTATTTAGGATATTATGTAAATTATGAGAGATCAAATTCGAGAGAGACAGCTTATCCGCAAGTGTTATTTGTTCAAGGAGATCATGGTTGTGGTGTCACATCGCTCGTAAATGCTTTAATCGAAGAAAATAATTTTGATGTAAGAAAATAATTTACTACTTTCTGTTTTTTACTAAATTCTATTTTTATTTCCCAGGCAACGGAAATAAATGCATCGCAATCACGAGTTCAAGCTGATCTGTTGAAACAATTTCGTGAAGTGGGTTCCCATCAATTGACCATGGAAAATATAACAGTTTCGGTATGGGATGCAATGAGACTACAAGAAGAACGACGTAGTAAGTAACTATAATATAAATATTCAAATATTAACCATTATTGTTTTTCCAGACGAAGAAATAAAAAAACAATCTTTATTATCAAAAAAGAAATTAACGAAAGGTAAACAAGAGAGTATAGACCAAAAGAAACTAACTGTTCCAAAGAAAAAGTCAAGTACAAGTGGAAAAACACAGCACAAAACAACGATAAAATCAGTGGGTTATTCTTCTATTATCTTAAAAAAGAAATCGAACAAGTGGTTTTTCATCTTCTTGTATTCTCTAACTCTTACTATTTATAAATTTTTTAGTTTTTTGTCAAAAAGGATGAACTTCAGGTAGAAGAAGAACGATCGACTGATTTAAATAATGAACAAAAAGAAAATGATCTTCGACGATCAACAAGACGAAAAAAACCATCAGAAAGAGTTTTACCAGGCGTTAGTGAAGATGAAGAAAAAATTGAACAAGATGATGTAGACGAGAAGATCAAACGACCAAGAAGAAAGATCATAAGAGTAGATGACGGTGATACAAATACAAAGAAAAAATTCAAAAAAATTCAAAAAAAAACAAACGGTCATGTAAATGGCGTGACTATGAACACTGGTTGTATTAGTGATGTAATTAGTTCTAATGGTGGTGGTTTAAAAGTGAAAAAAGCAGCATTGATTCTGTTTGATGAGGTATATAATCGTTTATTAGTTACAGTGATTAATCAAATAAATACGTGTAAAGTAAACTATCCATGTTTATTTAGATCGAATCAATAACGCCTGAAGATAACTTTTGGTCTTCTTTGAAAAAGTTAATCATTAAAGCTAAAAAGCCTATCATACTTACATCAAATAATAAACAAGCACAGTGGTCATTGAATGAAATATCAACAATTGCTTTTGAACATATAACATTAGAAAAAATTGAGCCGGTAGTTTGTAGATTTATTTACTACTCTTCCTTTATGATCCTTTATTTTTTCGTTTAGGAACTTGCATGCTGTTATATACGACTCGTATTGCTATGTGAAATGATTGAAATACCATCATTGAATGAATTACTCCTTTTTTATATATCGTGTTCATGTGATATACGTCGAACAATTTCTAAACTACAATTTTTAATACAATCATCATCTCGATCAACGTCAAGTTCAGTTCGAATGAAATATGATTATTTATCAAGTGAACAATCATCAGTTGATGGATATTCAAATTTTGTGGAAAAATCACGATATACAAATATTAAGAGTACAACTAATTTTGATGATTTCTATCAAAAACAATTGAAAGATATAAATCAATCGAACAGTGAAATGTCGCTGAACAGTTTATTAACAAATCATAAAAAAAATACATCACGGTACGGAACAATTGTGAATAATGGAAATTTTTTATGTTATATACATACCATACTTAATCAAATTTATCTCATTTTAGGCTTGAATTAGATAATGCATTCAAATTGTTCGTTGAAGATAATGCAAGTGATACAGAAAAATCGTGTCTATATTTGGATTATAGGCCATTTTTAAGACATATATGCACAAGTGAAAAAGAAAAAGAAATCGAATGCAGAAAACGGTACATATTAACATCATTTATATTTGTTAACTAATCAAAAATGTAACTTGGATATTTAACTTTTTAGTTATCGCCATTGTCTGTCCTATCGTGGCTGTAAATCGAAATTATCTGATTTTCATATATTGTGTAATGGAATTAATGATTAACGATCTTTTTTTTGTTGCTTATAATGTTATTTAAATCTAGGACTTGATTTACCGAAGTCTCTCGATCGTTCTTGTCAGATGTTTTAATATTTTTTTGATGTTACTCATCTAGATTTTTATACGCATTTTTCTCGTTAATATCAGGTTGTTTTCTATTGTTTCCTGTTATCTTTTTTTTTTTGACGATAAAATTCTCTCAGATTCTATGTCAGATAAAAATGTTGTGATACAATCAGAGTTTAGCAATGGACTTTCGAATTGAGTGATAATAGCTAACTAGCTACCTAAATTGTTCTTTTTTTTGTTATTGTAATATTTGAATATATATATATATATAAAAATGAAGTTTTTGTCTTAGAAGTTATAAACACAGTTTGCTAATTCAATGATGTTTTTATCAGTCAAATTAGATCAAATTGTAAACTGAAGGTATTTCTGTGACTTAGATCCTAACACTTATTACTAGTTTATGAAATATAGTTATATTCCATATGCTATAGTTATTTTTCATTGGAGAAACAGAATTTGAATAACCAGGTAGATAGATCGACCTCCCTCTCATTTTCTATAAGTAGTATATTCGTGTTCCATTGATCTTCAGTGGAATTTTGTTAATATTGTCATACAACAATCCATTCGTTTAAATTATTGATTATTTTGTTAATTTTGGGAGTTTATAGGTGTTCTTAGAATTGTTTTCTCCTTTCCAGATGTATAACATTCTACTTCTTTCATTTATTTTGTCTTTGTCAAAATAAACATTAAATCAAATTAAATCTTAATATAAGAAACAACAATTATGGCATTTTTCACAGGTGGTGCGAAAGATCAAATGCGAGCAGCACAATTGGTCAAACGTCGTCAACAAGAACATGAACAAATTGAGATAAAAAAGAAAAAGATTGAAGAAGAAAATCGTATGGCAAGCATTGATGAAAAATTTAAAGCTCATTATGATGCTGTTGAACAAATGCTAAAATCAGATACAGTTGGTCTGATATCATTAGATGAAATGAAAAAAAAACAAGAAGATATAATAAGAGCACGTGAACAACAATTGGCAAGAGAAAAACAAGCAAAATTGAATGAAATGTTAAATAATTCAAAACAAGGTGATAGAAAAGATAGTTTACATCAACGGCCAAATAAATTATCGTTTGAATGGCTCGAAGAAGAGGAAGAAAATAATGAAGAAGTTAATGAAATACAAGAAAAGTCCAAATCGAATGTAGAAAATAAAATTGATGAGACAAAACTAGAGGTAAGTCTACCTCAACAAATTTTGTTATTTGTTTGCAACTGTCAATGAGTTTTGAAGATGTTTTCGATTGCAAGAAACCTATTGATGTAATGTAATACGTCTTGAAATAGTATGTTTTAGGTAGATCAATCTAATGATAGAAATGATGCTGATAGTTTGCAAGAAGATAATATTATCAGTTCTGAACGGTACCAAGATGATGATGATGAAAGATCAATGTCACCAGGTCAGATAACAACAATTACCGATGAAGATCCAATCGTTAAATTTTTAAATAAAAAAAAACGTCTTGGAAAAAATCCAGGTATCTAATTATTTCTTTGTGATTGTTTTTTGTATAAATATAATTTTTGTCTTAATGTTTAGATGTTGATACAAGCTTTTTACCCGACAAAGAACGTGAAGAAGAAGAACGTATATTACGTGAAAAATTACGAGAAGAATGGGTTGAAAAACAACAAAAATTAAAATCAGAAGAAGTCGATCTTGTGTTTAGTTATTGGGATGTACGTACATGAAAATTTGTGTTTTTTTCTTTTATAATAGTATTGTTTTCACCAGGTTCTTTCAGACCTTCACTCTTGAATACAAAAACTTTTTCTTAAATAATAAACATTTCCTTATATATTTCTATTTTTTGCAATTTTGTCTCTATTCATTATAGGGATCTGGTCATCGTCGAAGTCTTCGAATAAAAAAACGTATGACAATTCAACAATTTCTACTCAAAGCATTAGAAGTATTACGTCGTGAAAATATGTTTAATGAATTAAAAAGTTCAACTGTTGATCAATTAATGTTTGTTAAAGATGATGTAATTCTTCCACATCATTATTCATTTTATGATTTTATTGTGACACGAGCTCGAGGACGATCAGGATTATTGTTTACATTTACGGAGCCATTGAAATTAAATACAATTGTTGAAGTATCACCAACAACAGCTACAAGTATTTCAACAGATAATAATACAAATACGAATGTATCAAATGATAATAGCAATACATCACAACAGTCAACACATGCTGGTAAAATATGTTTAAGAAGTTGGTACGAGAGAAATAAACATATTTTTCCAGCTTGTCGATGGGAACCATATGATCCTGAAAAGAAATTTTTTAATGAACCACCAAAAAATAGATTCTGTGTAAAATAAATAATTGACATTTTGAACAACATAATTTTTAATAACTTCATTTTTTTTCTGCATTCATAACACGTTTGTCTTTTCTTTATGCATATATTTTGTTATTTTGTTTTGAAACGTGTCATTCGGTTTTTTTGAAAAAGACTAATAGCAGATATCAATATTTTTTAATATAAAGTCTGACAGCAGGAATAATTTTTTTGATCGACTGTCTGCGTAATTTTGGTAAGTAACTACAAAAAAGTTACTAATTAATGGAATTTTTGGCGGTTCGAAAATAAAAGATAGTCACAAATGATGAGTAATTTGTTCAAATGTGAAGGAGACTACGCTTCCTTCTTATCAAAATTTATAGAAGATATTACACTACAAATAGTGACTTTGTCAGTGGCTATATTTTTTCTTGTGAAAATAATTTATATTTAATAAGAAAAACTTAAAAGAATAGTAGATAATTGTCGTACATCGTATTTATTCTCAATCTAGAAAACAACAAAATTACTCTATTTTAATTTTCTCTAAAGTCACTATGTAATGACGATCGTTAGAGAAACAAAAACTACTAACGTTGAATAATGATGATCATACATAATTCAATCTGTGGAATGGAAAAAGTAATAAGAAATTGATAAAGTCTTATCATTCTTTGAATTTTGCCACATTCTTAGTCGCTATAACTAATTTTCGTTTTTATTAAAGTATCAGAATAATGAATGAAATTTTCATGAACTTAATTTTTTTTCATTAAATAAATCTACTTTGTTTAAATAAAATTCTCATTTTGTACAATTACGTAACTAGTGTATATCAAGTCAGCATTCTATAAACGATTTTTTCCGCTTATGTTTATGTTTTAATTCAGTATTAAGTGTAGAATATGAACAACAACAAATTTTAATACGATATATTTGAAAAATTAACAATGATTCAATGACAGAATACGACACAAATGATACAACTGCATTGAATTTAATGTCAATCTGCTTGTAGATACATGAACAAATTGTTTACAATTTATATGTATTGTTGGTACTTGATCGGCATTGATAGAAATAGCACTGCGTCCAACAGAATGGATAAATTTCAACATTTAGTGATGTAAAGTGGTTTGGTTATATTCACCAATTATTCAAATTTCGTATGTGAAATAATTTCATATTTTTGTTATGTTTGCTTAATTAAATGTACAAAGATATATACATAAATGGTAGACGAAAGATTTTTTTCACTTGTTATTACTTTTAAATTGATGTTCCAGTTGCATTTGTAAAAAAAGCGAAATTAATATTTTAGAGATACTTTTCATAGGTGCGTATCCTAGAAGTGCTGAAAATATCTAACTTTTTAAACAATAAAGATTATTTAATCTAAACTTTCGTTTATTAAACAAAAAATTGGGACAGTGACCCATTACATGTTGTATGCAATTGTACAGTCTTAGAAACAAAAAGAAAGATTATTTTATTTATAGATATCACATTTTACAATATAGTCTATTTTACTTAGTTTTATGACTACCACCACAAAACTATTTGCTAGTTTTAAGCAGGATCATGTAACGAAAATATTTATGCGTTGTATAGATATAAAAATAATAAATCCAAGAAAGTCACCAGTACCGACTGTTACTTTTGTTGGTAAAAATACAAAGCCAGTACCAAGTGTTTACTGTTGGGGATATATTGCGACAGGTAATTAATGTTTCTCATGATGTATAATGTCTGATGAGATGAACGTGACGAATTATTATTTTATTTCAGGCGCTCTCGGAGTATTTGAATTCGTTCATAAGAAGCTTGATACAAGAACAAAATACAAAGAGCAAGAATCACAATTTAACCGTGTTATTCCATTTCGACATCCATTTTCCTACGAGGTATTGATAATAGTTAATTTAGATGATTTTCAAGATAAGTAACAATATATATTCTAGCACCATATTAAAATTGATCGTGTTTCCTGTGGCAATGGTTTTACCTTATTAAGTACATTATCATTGAAACATGATAAGTTATATGGTTGTGGAATAAATACCGATAGTCAATTGACCTACTTAAAAGATCGTTCACATCCAAATGGTTTTGGTGACTATATTATTGCTCCAAAAACAATTAATTTACCATTGACACATACACGAAGTACACGTATCATACAAGTGGCATGTGGACGAGCACATTCACTTGTTTTAACAGATAATGAAGGTTTTTAAAAATATTTGCCTTCATTGTGTGGAATTGTTTTATCATGATAATTTTTTTCTTTTAGGTTTATATTCATTTGGTAATAACTCATTCGGTCAATGTGGTCGACAAGTGATTGATAATGAAATATATAAAAACAGTCAATTAATCCATGCATTTAACATTGATCAAGAAGATGTGATTGATGTTGTTTGCGGACAAGATCACACATTATTCCTAACATCCAATGGTCATGTTTATTCGTGTGGTTTAAATTCAGATGGTCAATTAGGTTTAGAACATTATGATTGTGTATCAAGACCACAACGTGTCAAAGGTGATATAGAAAATGAATTTATTACTCAAATATCATCGAAAGGAGATTGCGTTTTGGCATTGAATAAAAATGGAGATGTATTCGGGTGGGGCAACAATGAATATCGACAATTGGGATCAAATAATCAATCCGACCAACAACAGTGTTCAAAACCAAGACATTTAACATTTCGTGATGGTTATCAATTGAAAAATATTAAATGTGTGGCTAGTGGCGGATCGATGTGTACGGCAGTAGATAAAAACGGACAATTATTCACATGGGGTTTTGGGCTATTAGGTTTCGGACCAAAGCATACATTTATTGATATACCACGTCTGATACCAATGGAATTATTTGGAAGAAATGAATTTAATAAAGATGTGATGATTGATTCTGTTACATGTGGCTTGTATAATATAGCGGCTATCACTAACAATGGTGAATTGTTTATGTGGGGAAAAAATAAGTACGGTTCACTAGGACTGGGATTCTTGGAAGACGTCCCAATGCCGATGAGAGTATTTGTACCAGCTAAAGTGAAGTATGTTTCGTGTGGACCAGATCATACATTTGCTTTATGTAAAAGTTATGTGTGAGAAAAAGTAGCTTCTTTTTTTATATTATTCTATGTACGAAGTTGAATTCTTTGAGTTCTTGTTTTTGCTTAAACTATGTTGACAGTCAATAAATTTCTCTTGTTGGTAACCAACTAAAGAGGTTTTTGATGAGCTACAGCAAGCGGAGGCCAGATACTTTTAGAGGTGACTCTCCGAGACTAGTTTCTTGTTTAGATAGATCATCAAGTACAACATAACACAAAATCTCCGTCCTTTTTCGATATTAAATCGAGATTTACATCATAAAGGAATATCTAAGATGCAACTAATTCAAAATTCAAGTGAAATTAATTTTTCACTTTATTATACATATTCTGATCCGTCGTTTCAAGCTGCATCTGAATATCACCTTCCCAACCTTCAAAAACCATTTCTTCACGAAGAAAAAGTCAAAATACTGAGAGAGTTTCAAAAACGGAAAAACTGCTCTCTATGATGAAATTGACTTTTTGAAGTTGTATTTTTTTTGCACGTCGGAAGGTTCAAACTATATTTTTCTTACAATTATTCTTCATAAATAAATAATTCATTATTTATTCTCTCGACGTGAATCGTTATTTTTGATCAATGATGTACGTCAACAGGCTATTTGTTTCATGAAATATTAACAGTTATATTAACAGAATATGATGGATCTGCTTGTATTTTTCCATATTTGCTCAAAGGAGGAGGAAAAATAAGAACGACACGACTTTTATGAATGCGTTAAGGCACTCCAAATTTGAAATTATAGCACTATTTTGTTTTTGGCTTAGTCATACATCATCCGATAGGGAATTTCACGCTGATCAAGAATATCTGGCTTTTAGCCTTCCCAGCGCACATTATCAGTGAAAAAATTCAAAAAACTTGAAGCATCTCTTTTTTCGATAAACCACTAACCTTTTTTAAAAACTGGATAATCAGTATCAAAAAGCGAATCGACTAATGTGCATTTTCAAAATTTTTAGTTCATTTTCATTTTTTGGCAAAAATCGCGATAATTATTTTTTCAACGTGAAAATTAGACAAAAACTAAGGTAGTCAGATATAGTAAAGATGCGCATCATTCGATTCGTTTTTTGATACTGATCCCAAATATGATATTCCTATTGCATAAAAGTTGATTTCTGATGGAGAAAATTGAGAGTTACGAGCAGAATTCTGACTTTTTTGCCTCTGATTGAGAAAAGATGAATTGTTTCAGCAACGGAAAGGAATTTCAAAAAAAGCGATTCATACTGTTTTTCTACGTTTCAAGGCGAATCCAATGGCGTATGAAACTTGGCTTCATGTGTTAACCAAAAGAGTTGCGATGGGTTTGCAAGATGAGGGTCTTGAAACCGAAGATATATCAGTCCCGTTTCACATCCAGAAAATATTTTTTGGTGTGGAACCTTGAAATACAGTTTTCCAGATGCAGCTTTGAACACTAAATAAGAAAAAGAAACAAACAAACTTCTGCTACTACTATCACAATGACATCATCACTCAATGAGGTAGGAGCGGCACTTAGTGCTAGTCTGAGGGCTGAAAAGTGTTAAAAGTTGGTGGTAGTACTATTATAAGAAAGTGTCCTTTCCATTCTGTCAATATCACTTTTATACAATCAACATTACATTTTTTCAATTGTATTAATGAGTGTGTCTGAGGTAAATATTAGGGTTCTAATGGCCGAATGAAATAATGTAACAATTTTGAGAAATTTTTGACATATTCTGACAGAGCAAACATCTTCCCACATATCGAACCATGTCGATTTATAAAACTTCTTTTCTGTTACAGTGGTAGAGTCACCATTGTTGTTAAAAAGAAAATAATGCAAAAATGCTACCTTATTTTGCAACTTGTTTTTCTCAAACATAAAACATGTTTTCCAATTTTAAACGTGGTATTCATGATCATCAAATGTAAATACACATAACTATGGGAAAAATTTTGAGAAGCGCTACAAGTGTTGAGAAGTTTGCGGTGGAAAAACTAGTAGTGAAATTTATTCCACGCATCCAGAGATGGGTTAGTCCAGTCATTTCCAAGTCAGGTATGATTCGAGTTCGAGTCTAGTCTGGGCTCGATTTTGACATGAGCACATGGAAAGATAGCCTAAAGCCTACTTTCAAAATCTGTATCGCTTTCGGTTATAAAAGAGATTTTTTTTTCGACTTTCGAGCAAGTTTTATAGGATCCTAGAAAACCCGGGTCTTCAAATAATAGCTTTTTCTGAATACTTATGCAATTAAAGTTTTTTTCTGAGTGCGTAGATTTGTGGAGCAAACTTTTCTAATCAAATAATACCTCGCACAACTCTGTATGACCTTGCGTTAAAAAGTTACAAGCATTTTCCTACAAGTCCTAAAATTGAGCAATTTATACAGCGTTTCTCTACATGAGAGCTACACCTGAAGTATCTCACAGAATTTTTTAATATACTTCAAGCTAGAGAATACCAGTTTGTTTTATTTTAAACTAGACATCTAGCTACATGCGGCACCGATTTCTCAATTAGGTCTTAGTTTTTGTCAAATTGAGAACTTCTAGAAAACCAAGGAGCGTATATCGGATTTTTGAGGTTGTTGATTGTCTACAAAACGAACAAAGGGTTAATTGAAATATCGACGCCGGTCAGTCCATGTAGTTAGGTGTCTAGTTTAAAATAAAACAAACCCGAACTCTCTAGCTTGAAATATATTAAAAACTCTTGGGAAGTACTTTAGAGTCCTTTTTCAACCGTGATCTCTGGAATCTCCTAAACGGTAAGACTTGGAGACAAAAAAAATTTTATTATCATAACTCATTGTGCCTAACATTCAAGGAAAGTTTTGCAAAGATCAGATGTACCATGTCGGAGATAATTTGTGATGGGGGAGGTCCTTAAATGGAATGAAAGGATACTGAAAATAACTTTTTAGATGTCTGAGTTCGAGTCATGTCAAGGTCAAGTCCGAGTCTAGTCAGAGTTTTTTGAGTTCGAATCCGAACTCATTCATCTATGCACATATCATACGCTGACGTATTTTTCATGAAAAATAGCAAATTTATTAGAGGGCATAAATCGCTCCTATCCACTCTTCTCCTTAGCATGAATATATCATTCTAGATTACACTTTGTTAGGGAATCTCGCGATGCGATGATGCTGATTATTATCATCAGTTAACCAGATGATCTGGTTAACTGATGGTAATAATCAACATCATTGCACTTAATCAGCATCATTACTTATTCAGTGAATAAGTAACTAAAACATATTGTCAACATTCATGAACTCTTTTTATTTAGAGAACGTAGACGAAAGAAAAAGTGATTATAGAAAATGTTCTTTAAATAAGCGAAAGGAAAGAAAAAGGTGGATACAGCTAAGTACTATATACCATCTGTAAGCATCTCTTCATTGTATCTGTAAGTGAATTTAGATATTATTTTTGACTATACACTTATTATCACACATACTCTTGACATCTTGACAACAGGCAACTCATCTGTTTTAGTAAGTGAGGTCTAATCAACTTTTTCTGTCTTGAATTCATTTGTGGTATAAAGAAAAAAGTATTCTAACCATAGAACTCATTATTGTCCTCTAAAACGGTGGCAGATCCAGAAATTTTCAACAGTACGAGCGGTTTTTAAAGACAGTATTAAATTGACTTTTTTTGTGAGAGTGCGTATTACTTCGTGTCTGAAAACAAATTTTAAGAAAAAATATACATTCTGAAGTTATTTCGCAAAGCAAGATCGCTTTTATACATGTCAAAAATCTTGTCAGGGCAACCCCTTGTGGGGATAAAATGGTGAAACTCCTTTACATTAGCCGAAACATGATATAGTGTACACTAACATAGACGAGTAACGAAAATTGCAGCTGTCTTTTAAGATGAATACACCCGCCATTATAAGATGAATACACCAGGAAGGGAGTTTAAAAAACAGGCAAAAACTATTTTGAATATAAAACTTCAACTCCTTCTTTGAAGATACTGAATGAGTTTCACAAAAGCCGCTCGCAGACTGTATCTGACACTGCTTCAAAATCATTAATTATATGCAACAGCTCTCATTGCGTGACTGATCTTTTTGAAATAAGCCCTTTTGATGTTTCATTCTTTGTGCGTATACTTTACTAGATACAATAATAATAATCTATATACTTTTTCAGTTAGAAACTTGTAAAAATCACAGATTTTTCGCTAAATATCGATATAGTAAATGATTGATTTTAAAACTAAATAGATTGAACATAGCTCATACAACATTTTATCTTATGCTCATAGGAAATTCCGATTTAAAAGATAATCTGAAGAAAATATTTAATATAGATCGTATAAAATCTCATTAGAGACAATTGTTTTTTGATAACATATATTCATATTTACCCGATAATAATAAACATAAAATATTAAACTTTTATTCTATATTTTCGATAGAAATCCTTTAATAACTTTTTGTCTAATTTCTTTATATTTCAAGGAATATTTATTATTTATATTATTAATTTTGGTAAGTGTATAATTGCGGGTCAATAAGTAATAGCTACTAGATATGTAACAGTAGACAGTTTTTTCACACAAAAAACAAACAATTTAATTAAATTTACTCTCTTTCTCTCATCTATTTAATTGAAATCTGACACACATTCGGACATGTGAATATTTTGTGCTATTTACGTTTTCTCGGTAAGACTTATCTATAGTCATCATCATTATAATTTTTGCTTTGTAGTATATAACCGGAAGATCTTTAACAATTAGAGAATGGTTATAGCACGCATTTTATATATAGATATATTATATGTATATATATATATATATGCATATCCGTTTGTTATACATAAATAATAGACATATTAATTCTACGTCATATAGCACTTATCATATTAGCCCTGAGTAAGTTTTCGATAATGTATGCGTGTGTGTTTTGTTTTTCAGTGGGTGTTTCTCATCATTAAACAAAAGCCAAGTTAGAGATAATTAATGTGTTCATTTGAGTTTGAACAGAGCAGATAAAATTCAAAATCTGTCAAACCATCATTGAAGGTAACAAATGATATTTATAAGGTAATTTTAATTATTATTTATAAGAAATAAAAATCAAATAAAAATCCTATATTTTAGAATTCAATTCAATATATGTAAAAATGTTTAGTTTTTATGTTGTACAAAACATGAGTTCTTTACATAACACTATTCTTTGTTACAGACTAATGTCAGAGAAGTGACTCTTATTTACCCGATGGAGATTATTTGCATTTTCATAGGTCCATTCAATCTGTTAATTAGATGAGAGAAGAAAGAAATAGAAAAGAATTTTGTTTTTTGTCGACATCGTTTAATTAATGTTGAACCAGTGTTAGTTTTGTTGAAAAAAATTTTCTTTTTTCCGACAAAACTAAAATATTATGAGTAGACAGATGTTTTATACTTTTATTGATGCAATGATCGATCAATCATTATCACATTAAACGTGTATATAATATAAATGATGTTATGTAATTTCAACTGAATAAATAACGATGAAATTATATTTGTCTAAATGAGAGGTGTGTTTTCCTCTCTTTTCTTTTTACTTACAGTGGAAAATTCAAATATATAATCTCTCTCTTTTTCTCTCTCTCTATATATATAAGAACTTAAAAATGCAACTTTTCCCTCTTGAACAGGTTATTAGTATTATTTTGATAGACATTTTCTTTAAGTAAGTTTTGTATAGAAAATATCGATTAATGATTTAATTCGAACAATTTTATAATATTATCTAATAAATGAATTGAAGTTTTAAATTAAAAAAACTTACAGGTAGCGATGTTATTTGTTTTCTAGTTTATCAGTTAAGAACATAAAAGATTGAACGTTCTCTAATCATTTCACATCAAACCGAAAAATATTAATAACAGTAAATAAATAAGTTTTTATTATAGATTAATAGTTTAGCTAGTCTTTTCTAGTTATTTTACGTGTAGACGTAAGATAATTAGAAATTAGTGTTAGATATTTTCTCTAGTTAAAATAGATTATACGTGCAGAAATGACGTCAAAACTTCTTTAATGTAATGAGTGAAAGTTTTTTTTGAAAGTATTTGTCTATACACCAGAGAAATATATGTCAATTATGTGTCGTGAGACTTTTCTTTTTTTCATTTTCACTTATAGCGCTAAGTATATTAAAATGAAAGATAAAGATAATCTCTTAAAAAAAAGCTTTTTTTATTTTTAAAGGATTCGAAGACTTGATATTTTTTAGAAATCAGCATGTTTATCGGTAGGAGTACTCTGAAATATATGAAATTAAAAGCCCCATTTGTTTTTTCTTAATGTGTAATTTACTCTCTAAAATTTTTATAGAGTTTCAAAAAGAAAGCCTGATGTTATTTTATACTCATTCATTTAATGAAAATGTTACTCTAAAAATTCTTTCATTTTCCTAAATTTTCTTATCCTATGATCTTGACACGTAAACATTTGAACATAAACATATATTATATCTACTGGTTCTACATATTCTGTGGGGACATACAACCTTACCAAAGAGTTCTTCATTATACTCCATACTGTTCGTGATATAAGAAACAGGATGAAAATAAAAATATGAAGCAAAAAGTAATAAAAAAAAATAAAAAGAGAGGGAATAAAATCCTATTTAATTGTAAAATCACGCGTAAATTAACAGGAACTAGTTTTCGTTTACTGTTAGTTAATGTCAATATTATTACTATCTTAAAATATTTATTTTGATCTATATCAAACTTTAAAATTTATCCTTCATATATAATCAGTTTTTAGCATAAAATGTTGTCGAAGTTTCTGATACAAACATATTTGTTATATATGATTAAAAAAACAACCTTATATATTTATATGTTCTTCAATCAAACTAAAATTATCATCCTTCAATTCATTAAAAACACTTAATAATAATAGATTTTACTTAACTGATTTTTATATTGTAGATAAAATTATTACTTTTTTTCTTCTTCCCCCTTTTGTGTGTGGACTCTTTTAATGGCTTCATTATCATTTATTCTATTACGTAATATTATTCTCACATTTATATTTCTTCATACTGTAATGCTTTTCAAATTGTATTCACCAAATGAAACTTTATTTCCTGATTCCGTAAGTAAATTACTTGACTATCCAAGCAAATATCACCTATGAGAAAAATCTAGATACATTTCGTCTGTAATCGGGCGATATCCGACTAGTTGTCATTTAGATTACTAGTTGGAAAAGGAACTTTTAACTAGATGCGTCTGCAGGTGCATCTAGCAATAGTTGATTATCCGGCGATAAATCGATAGTTGCAACTAGAAAAAATCTAGTAATCGCCCAATATATAGATTTCCACGGTCGTTACACGGTAGCTGCAATCGAGTAAAAATCTAGTAATCTAGATGAATCGGGCGATACTAGACTTTTTTTTGACGCTTGGGTAATAGTGTATATTGATTGAAAAAATGATCTTTTGTTTGTTTTTCTCTTTCAGATGGGTAATCCAGACGAATCATCCTCCGTTGATGCCTTCATAGTTCCACAGATTGCAGATGATTCATCCTATGATCAAGATAATACGGATGATATCGATAATTCAAATGAACAACTTTATCGATGGATATTAGAAATTCCGAGAATAAAAGAAAATCATCTACTATCTTCACCTTATTCTAAACGTTCATCATCTTCTCCACCACAAAAAAAATTTCGTCCACATTGGTCACCATTAGTTGCAGCTTATAAACGATGTGGTGAATTGATAAGAGATAAAAGAGAAAAATGTTTTAAAAATGCAGTACAAATGCTATTTGTTCATAAATTGAAAAAATAAAATATCAATAAGAAAAACGTAACATCTTTGTGTTTTTTCTCTATTATATTTGTCCGTGTATGTAATATGAAGAATTATGGACAAACTTCTATTCATTAAGAGAAACAAGATTACAAAAATATATATTATATAGAACAGTACGGCCTAGGGGTGAAAAAAATGCAATTTTACTTTTAAAAATGTTCTCTCGCTTTGTTTTTTAGGTTGGTTTCTTACAATGATAGTTTGGAGAATTTTATTTTTAATAAAAATAAAAAAAACTACTAATGTATTATTGTTCAATATATTGGACTTTTCTCATCTAGTTATTTTTATCGAGCAAAGTCTCGATTTTAATAATTATATGCAAAACTATACCAATATAAAAACAGTAAAAACGTTATTTTCAATCCTTTTTTTCCTCCTTTTGACTAATGACGTTACAAAAACAAAAAAATTAAACTTGGGAGTTTTTTTTTACGTTTCTGCTCGTGTTTCTCAAATTCTGACCTCATTCACCTTTGGAAAATAGCGAATTTAGTATTTCATAGTCAATTTTGGGCAGAGGCTTAGAAAAAAAAAAATATATATATGAATTTTTAAAAAGAGAATAAATATGAAAATTTTCCTTTGCTTTTTAAAATTTCACTAAAATTGATCTACTTTCAAACCTAGTATTTTCCCCAAAGTTTTTTACCTAAAAATGACTTTTAAAAATCTGGGATTGATATTATTCTATGTCATTTGATGAACTCTATCCCCAATCATGTCAAAAAGAACTCACTTAATTTTGGAATTGTCAATACCTTGAAAAGTTTTTTTTGTAATAATAATGAACAGGAAATAAAATCGAACCCATATTGTGAAATGTAATTTCTCTACAAAATTTATGGACATCTTTGTTGTTCGCACGCGAAACCGAATAATGTGATGAATCTATTCTTTCATACTATTGTATATTTTCAGTTTTGAGACGTGCTAAACGGTATTTTACTATGGTGTAAGAGGTTAAAATGTAAACATTACATTTCAATCATTTCATACTACCATATCTCAACCATATATTTTTATTTTATACAATATAATGGTATATGTACACATTGCTCCCTCTCCCCAAACACTGCAAAGAAAATAATCTTAAATAAATCAAAGACAAGAACAAATGCAAAACGATAAAAACTAAAATGGTGATGAATCATTTTCAAACCAACATGTACGATAGATAAAACATTTCGTTATAATTCTTAATGTATTACGAAGTTTTAATGTTGAATATTTTCTAAAAAATCGAATATAACAAGCTAAATTTGTGTCATCATCAGTTATTGTAAATAAATGTTGTACATAAGCGCATAATAAACAAGAAATTAAATTTGGTTTTGACAAAATAGACCATCTATCATCATCATCATCAAATAGTGAATATATACCAGAAGAAGTTGGATTGTTCAGTATTTGTTCAAGTATTAAATAACTTAATCTATATGGCAAATAATCAAATAGAAAATGATCACATAATGAATATAAATCTTTTATTTGAGAATAATCCGTTTCAACAATATCATTATGAATTAAATCAATGAGATATTTAAAGCTTTGAAATGATATTGATAATGGTAAATGAATATTAATTATCTGTTGATTATGTTCAGAAAATTCACAATTAAATAATGTTTGAAAATATTTTGAATGTAATGATAAAAGTTTTGAATTAACAAAAATTAAATTAGATGATGGTGATTCATCAATAATACACAGCTGAATATCTCTTGGCTCATCTGTTGATATTACAGATGACGGATGAGAATGTGCTTTCAATTGAATGATGCTAGAAAGAAATTAAAATTTGTAGTAGACGACATATATATATATATAAAATATATTATTAAAAATATTCAACTTACAAATCTTTTACATAATCTGTTGATGGTTTTGGACAACGAGATAATAATTTATGAAATCCCCATGCACAAGCAATGGTATTTTCTTTAATTGTTAAATTATATAAAAGATAGTCAAGACCATTACATTCATCAAGCATAATACGTTTCAAATATGGTTCTCTAAAATAAAGAAGAACAATTATTATCAATTACAAATAAGAAATAGAATTTTATTCTCATTTAATATCAATCACAATTTAAGATAAATAGACTATTTTATCAAAAAAAACAACAACCAAACATACTTTATTGTAGCTACAACTGTTAATAATGTGTGAAATTTATCTGTCTCATTTGTTGAACTAGTATTTAATAATCGAATCACTTCATTAATTACAAAAGGTGTATTTAAATTATGTTCAATATTTTTTAATAATACAAATTCAATAGTTATTAGACGTTGATCGTCATTTATCCATGATAATTGTTGAAAAAATGAACGATTATCATTTAATAATATTTGTATTAAATATTGATCAATATTTGTTCGTATTGAACTAAATGGATTTTTATGAAAATATGTTGATAAATAATATGGTAAACCAAGTTTAACTAAATGATGAAATAAATCTAATATTTTTGTTAAACGATTTAGTATTCGAACAGAACGTGGATTTGAATCATTTACCGATTGTACATAACGTAATAATGCACACATTAAACGTTTATTATATAAATATGTACGAATTAAACAATCTGTATTTTCATACGATAATTTTGATAATAGAATAAATATTAAGGCTTCTGTACGACGTCTTTTTTCAACATTAGAAACAATTTTAAATGCGGATACAGATGGTTCAATTGATTGTATCTGTTGTTCATCATCAAGATTTGTATTATTATTTTCAACAAATTCCATAAATAAACTTTCATGAAATGGACTATCAATAATTATTGATGAATTATTCTAAAAATAATTAAATATTAAAAATATTAAAGATTAAAACAAAACAAAAAATGTTTCTTACCTTTCGAATTATCTCATTATTATCTAATTTGAATCGTTTTATTTTATTTTCACTATCTAAATCTATATTTGATCTTTTTAAAATTTTTTCATCATCATCATCATCATCACTACAGTAATTTTTTATATATTTTTCATAAAATGTTTTCTCATCATCTTGATTACCATATTTAACTAAAATTTGTTCTAATAATTCACATAAATTTTCAACTAAATTCATTTGTTTAGTAAATATTATTAGTGTTGATTCATCAAACATAAATTGTGCTAAAGCTGTTAATAACATATCCAATAAATGTGTACGATAATTTGGATTATTTAACCATACAAAAAACATATTTAATTTTGTTTGATCTTGTTTTAATAATAAACGATTATTTACTTCTTGACAACAAACACAAGATAAACCAATTAGTTGTAAATGTTCATAGACTGATTGTCTTGTATCAATTAATCTTAGAAGAAAATCAAAACCACCACATAGACCAAATTCTGTTCTCATACATGGATAATGTAATAAATTTTGTAATAAACGAAATGATACATGACGAAATTCTTTATCCGTTTTTGATTCAATTGTTGACATTAGAAATTTAAAAATTTGACCTTCACGTATCTAAACAAATAATAAATTAAGTGAAAAATCTACAGTTGCACAAATGGTCATTCTTTTAAATCAGTCTGACTGATTTATTAAATTAATAAAATGACTGACTCAGTCATTGTATTAATTTGATAGAATTATGTCGATTTTGTTATAAAAAAATAGAGACGAACGAAAAATTTTGTTTGTTTTTCTCGATGAACAAATTGTTATCCCGTACTATTTTTCAAAATATTATAAAATACAAAAAATGATCTATTTAGATTCTGTACTGTTCATGCACAAAATAATATGTTATTTTTACTATTTTACCTGCGATCGACTTCTATCACACGTTATTTTCCATTCAACCACAGCTAAAAATGAACAAAGTAGAAAATGATTATTACAGAGTGGGCCAAAGAAAACTTACTCCCTCTGTATTTACTGGCTTTCTTGTGTACAAATAGAATTGAACTTTTTATCATTAGTTTAGTCGAGTAGAGCAAAGATTTCTGGACAAAATGAGATGTTTCTGAGCTCTCCAAGAGCTTTTCTTATGAAACAACATTCAATTTACGGAAGGTCCGAAGAGTCTATTTTTCTTGTTTTCCCGTTAATTGTCCCAATTTTGGTGGAATGGGACCTTCTGTAAATTGAATGTTGTTTCATAAGAAAAGCTCTTGGAGAGCTCGGAGACATCTCACTTTGTCCAGAAATCTTTTCTCTACTCGACTAAACTAATGATAAAAAGTTCTATTTGTACACAATTCTATTTGTACACAAGAAAGCCAATAAATACAGAGAGGGTAAGTTTTTTTGGCCCACCCTGTATATCTTTTGGATATTTTCACTTTTAATCAATCATTTTTAACAGTAACTCACTGTATATAAATAAAAAAGAAAATAAACATCGACAGAATACACACTCGTGGAGTATTTCCTGTTAAAATAACATAAACATCGATTATTGATAGAAGAATCATTGCAGATTCGAGCACGATTTGTGCAAAGATAGATCAGCGCCTTTATATGTCTCTCCAGCTGGAATACAAAACGCTTTTACATCATTTACATTGACCAAGATGGAAGACTTAAATCTCGGAAAATTATTAAGCAGTTAAGATATTATCATTTCTGATATTTGTGTCATTGAAGAAATTGTATGTTTTTTTACTGTAGCTTTCATTGAACGGAATAAAAAAAGAACATGTACACATCTTCTTTTTTATACCTTGGTATATGTGAAACGTGATTTAAAATGGTTTTCTTTCTATCGTGTGGCATATGTAGTCATTTTGTCGATGTTTATTTTCTATTTTGTTTATAAAATCAGTAAGATTAAAAAATGACTAATTGAAAGTGAAAATATCCAACTGACATAGAAAACCATGTTAAAATTTAAAACAGCATTTTCTTGAATTCAGAATCATCATTGTTCACAATCTCTAATATTGAACAACGTAGTATTCATCAATTATTATTATTGAAAACAGATTCTTCTTTTTATTAAACGCATCGAAGAAAAAAAACCTATATTTTCTCATAGTTCTTGTATCCTATAGCATTTACCCTTCATTGCTTCTTTTCTTAAATCAATTTTCTTCGCAAATAATTGTTTGCATATAGATAACAAACACATCGTATCTAACATCTTCTCACGACCAAATGTGTACTGACTTAATTTTCTAAATTAGAAAGGATGAAAATGATCAGATAAATGCACAAAAAAATTTCAGACTTTTTTTACATACCTAGAACATCGGATTGTAGAATGCAAACAAGCTGGATTTTCACATGAGCGTAAAATATTGCCCATTACAAATGCCACATCTAGTTTAATAAAAAGAAACGAACTCCCAGTTCACAGAGAGTAAAGAAAGACTATGTTGAATTAAACAGACCGGCATCAATCATTTTCTTTGCTGCATCTGCTATCGTACAAATATTTCCTAATAAGCGAAAACATCGATTTGTTATATCAATTTCCTTAACATTAATTATGTTTCGACAAACAATATCAATAACTTCTGTATCAAGTATCTAAATAGAAAATCAACATAATAGTTCTTCAAACAAGAAAACTATGTTATTAATAACAAAATACCTGCATATGAGATGCTTGATCACATGCTATATTAGCAAAAATACTTAGTGCTTTCGATTTCGTTGAATCGTTGTTCAAATACGAAATTAATAAATCAATGAGATCATCATATTGTCTGAGATAAAGCCAAGCGTTTGTTCGAGTTGTTAAACTTTTAAATCTTTCTAATGTTTGATTAATTTCTTCCTGATCGGTCAAACGTGCATTTCTGATGGCATCGATAGCGTCTTTGTAAATATCGAATGATGAAACGGAAAAATTACCATCAGCATCATCTTCACTATCACTACCACATCTTGGCGGCGAAAGTGGAGGAGGTGAAATACTCATCTAAAACGTTACAAAAATTTTCTTAAAAAGACAATTGCCTTTTCGCTGTGGTTCTAAATAAATATGATTGAATTAAGCGACTAAGATTCAACAGGAAAACTAACAGAAAATCTCACCTAGTCGTACAACAAGTGGAAAAAAATTTGTAGTATGCCATCAACATTGAAGTCTTTTGAATCAATGAATAGCGTTTTGATATTATTTCTCTAAAGTAAAAATCTCGTTCTGTTGCGAAAAAACGCAGCAGTCCTATGATATAAGAAGAAAAAAACATTACGAGAAAGACGCACCGTTAATCAGTTAATTAATAATTAAAACATTACTGAAAATATTTCGTGTCATATATATATAAAAGATAACGTTTTTCCTTTATTGGTTTAAATGCACAGCCAATAAAATACGGCTTTTGTATCTCCATAAAACTTCATCACAGTTTCAGGCTTATAAGGTTATATTGGTAAACTCGACAGTTTATTCTTCTAAATTTGGGTTGAAATAGCGCTTGAAAGTAGCCAGCTTCTAATGATGGCGCTACACGCATTAGCAAAAATAACGAAATCATACTTCAGTTATCAGGTAAAATAAAAGCTTTTTCTACTATCTTAGCTCTTACACTATCCAATTTAATGAAAATTTACCAATAATTAGTGTCTCTTCATAGTATAATGCAATTCGTTCGTCACCAGGCTTAATTGTGATTGGTTTTAGCTAGCAGTCAGCTGTGTTAAGAAAGAGAGAAAAAGAACGAACGCATGCATTAAAAAGCTTTTAAATCAGCACACTGGCAGATCCAGGAATTGTTTTCACTGTATGCGGTCTGCCTCTAATAAAATTATTCCCACTCGGCTCTGCTGGAAAAAAAATTTTTATCCTTGAAGGTACGTGGATTGCATGCTGGATGAATCCTCCACCAAATTAACCTTTTTGTAGTATCTTTGATTGATACTTTTGTCTGTTAAGAAATGCGTACTTGAGAGAAGCACTTCATTTGGTGCTTACCTGTGCTTACTTACTTTTTTCAGACGTAACTCTACTTGCGAACACTTGTCATGCAATGCTTGGCAGATGCCGTTGAACGAAAATAAATGCGAAAGTTTGACTTTTAACCATAAACGAAACACATTTACGCCCGATCTTCTTATTAGTAAAACAGTACTAAAAAAAGTTACGGAACACAAGCATCTGCGAGTGATTTTAACATAAAAATTAAACAGGAAAGCTCATGAAGAATAATGTGCTGAGTAAATGTAATAAAATTTTAAATCGAAGTTTAAAATAATATTTAGCGCATCTACACTAAACCAAATGTACAATCTTTTGTTTTCCCCATAGTAACTTACGCGTGTACCGTCTGCTTAAATAAACATAACATTCATATATTCGATCAGCTACAGTGTCATGCTAGTTTAATTGTTTCTGATGCATTTCATTTAAGTAATAAACCGGTTAAGTTAGGGAAGTTCTTGGATGGGTGGAATTACATATATGGTTTGAAGTGTTCAAATTAATGCTAATGCATAAGGTCATTAACAGGCAAGCCCGGCACTTCCTATGTAAACATATAAAATTCGTAGTAAATTGTTCTTTTAGTACGCAGTCAAACGTTAGATCTGATTCAACGGATCTATGGAAAAACTGAAACGGTTTTGTCTTCCTTTTTTCCGTACACAATCAAGATATAGAACATTCTCCCCTTGTAGTTGAGGAAAGTTATTACATGTAAAGTGTCTGCAAAAGATTTGTTACGACATTTCGAACTTGTTAAAACCATAACGGCTGTAAAGGAGGTAGATAGAAGGACAGATATAGCTCTTAATCAGATGAGAGTGAACTTTTCGGTTTTGAACAACGATCTGCTTAAACGACATCTGGGGCCTATTTCTTAAAAAAACTTAAGTAGAAAATCTTACTTAAGTCAAAAAAGACAAAGACTTTTTTGGACTTAAGTCAGATTTTCTACTTAAGTTTTTTTAAGAAACAGGCCCCTGGTTTCTAATGAGGAGTTTTGCGAGTGTGGCGAATCCGAGACGATAAAACATTATTTCCTTTCTAGCTATCATCGTAGCTATCGTTTGGCGAGAGCAAATCTGTTTAAACAAATAAAACTATGTGACTATATGATCTAAACTGTGACATTGATCTAAATTTACTACTACGAAAGAATCTAGATTTCGAAGTGTATAAAGATCTATATAAACTTATAATACAACATGTAATTGAGACAACCAGATTCTAACTGTGATATTCCACTAACCTTCCTTCTTTTTCAGTTCTTTTCTTTTAATTTTTCTTTTTTTTCTTCTTGTTATGTGTTTACTGTACGGTCAGGGAAATATCATGTTAAACCACTCTTCAACTATGTAATGCTTGGACGCATTAGAAGGAGAATTGTTACGTATATTTACTTCTAAATAAGTAGCTTAAACCAAAGTTGTAAGTGCTTCGAGTAATTAAGCCAAGTATGACTGTCTTGAAGAACCAACTGTAAAAGTTTCTAAAAGTAATTAGTTTTAGAAATACCTTCCAAGCAATCAAGTATGTGGATCAAGTACATTCACTGAAAAAGTAGTGAAGGAGGGAGCTAAAATAAATGCTTGTATCGGAACCACTTCAGTAACTCTTAACCTGGAAATTTAGGAAAAAATTGTACTGGTTCAACCTAAGTTTGCTACGGTATCTGTCTTTTTAGATGTTGTACGACATATCATGATATCAATCTATGGGGACAAAAACAATACCAACAGACAAAGTAAATTTTTATTCACAGTATAGAGTCTCCCCAGAGGCAACAACTGACGTTTATAAATAAATGAAAATATTCATTTATTTTTTTCGTTTAGATTAATCTAAAGCTGCTAACAACAAGTGGAAAAACAGCTGAATTTTTATTTTCACCTAGTGATACAGCTGCAGACGTCTCTCGATATGTTTATGAGAATTGGCCTGAATGTACGTACAGATTTAGAAAGATAGAACGAGAGAACTAAGGAAAAAAGTGTAGCTCTCAACTGAACTTTTGTTTTACACTTCTGCAACAAACTAACATTTCGTCATACAAGAAAACTTTATTAACAGTCCTATTTACATTAATGAGCTCTGTTATTTATTTTTAGCTTGGAATGATGAAAAACACGTTGAACGTTATGAAGTTTTAAGATTAATTTACCAGGGGCGTTTTTTACATGGTAATGTGACATTGAGCGCATTACGTCTACAAGGAAAAACCACCGTCATGCATTTAGTTCCGAGAGAAAATCTTCCTGACCCTGTTGCTCAAGATCAAAAACGAAAACATAAAGCAGCAAATGAGATCACTACTAATGTTCAGAATCATTCGACGGCAACAAATAGTACTGGAACACCAGAAGGTGGAACAACCTCAACATGTTGTGATTCATGCGCTTGTTGTATATCTTAAACAGAAGAACTTCTTTCGATTTTTTGCGTCAGATGAATATAGCAAGTACTAATTATTATCAAGAGTTTGATGTTACACTGTTTGGTTTTTTCTTCTTCACTCTGATAATGGTGGTATATTTCCCTTGCTATACTTGAACAGTATGTATTTAACTTTTTTTGTCTTTGTAATTCCTTGTTCAGCTCATACAGTCGTTTACCGTCCTCATTGCAACGTATGACATTCATTGGTCGACAATGTTTTCACTGGATGTGTGTGTGTGTCTTTGTTTTGTTTGTTTTCTTGCCGGTGTGTTTCTTTTTTTCTATCTATTGTAACAATAATAATAATAATAATAATAATAATCTTTTCGTTGTGGATGAGAAGACATTGCATTATGATCTTAAGTACCTAGAAAAATCTTTAGATAGATGAGTCAAAACATTCATATCACATTTGTTATTATTCCTAGAGGCGTTTTCATTATTTTTATTCCCATCATGCTTTGCTTCGCACAGTTTTGTATTCATTATTAATTCCTGTGCTCAATCTCGTTTCTATTCATATTATAAAGTGTTAAGTTTATGTCATTGGCGTTCCTAGGCTAAAAATCTTTTGTGTTGTTTATGTTTTTTATTGTAAAAGGTCTTTTTTTTTCGTTTGAGAACTTGATCTCATTCGTTTGATGTTCATCTTTGAGAAGCAAAACTCTTATTCTATTCTTCTTTTTGTACATTGGCTTCTGTTTGTTTTGGATATGTTTGTGATTTTTTTTTATGAATTGATAAGATAATTGTTAACATTTGTTGTTTTTTTAGACGAAACTCGATGGAGTTTATCCCTTGTCATATTGTTCTTCTTGCTTGTGCTTCAAATTAAATTATTATCTTCATTAAAAAATAATGAAAGGTTGTTATATTCGAAATGTATGCTAACATCAACTATGCGAAAGATGCATTCAATTACACTTAAAGAGTTTAAAATAATAGCGAAACTATTTTTTCTTTGGTATAGCATACTGCATTTTCTTAGTCTTTATTAAAACATAATAAGTAAATATAAACAAACAAAAGACTTTCTCCTTTTTCGAACGATTTTCTCAACATCAATTTGCCGTTTTATTCTAGTTAAAAAGAAAAATGACAAAAGGATTAACAAGTTTTTGCTCCTGAATAAAGTGAACAGTTGTGATTATTAGTAAAAAATTCATAAAACAATTGATTTCAGTGCAGTATCTAAAATATTTCCCGCTTGTGTTTTGTGTTACTAACGCATCATTCAAAATCAAGTTTTATCGTACATTCAAGATGAATACTGAAATTGTAGAACGTCAAGATGAAATTAATTCTAACAATGATGATTTACATAAAGAATTGGAAGGTATGGACAATGATGAACGATTAGAGTATGTGAATAAATTGAGTACAGTTATATTTGATGAAATAATTGAAAAGAAAAATGGTGATCCATCAAAATGGGAAAGTTATTGGGAAAAAGATGAAAATGATATTGAATATTGGAGTGAAAAAGATATACGATTAGATCCTGTTAAAGGTTTATTAACAGCTGTTGAAAATGGAAAGTTGGAACGTGTTAAGGATTATGTAGAAAAAAATTTCAATTTATTAACGGCAACTGATTCTGATGGTTATACGCCGTTACATCGTGCATCAAGTAATAATCATATTGATATAACAAAATATTTAATTGAAAAAGGAGCGAATGTCAATTTGGAAACAAATGATAAATGGACTTGTTTACATTGTGCATGTTTCTGGAATAATGCCGATTTGGCATCATTATTAATACAAAATGGGGCAAATGTTAATGCACAGACAAATGGTGGACAAACATCATTGCATTTAGGTAAACAAAATAATAATTTTATGAATTTTGAACATATCTATCGAAACGTCATTTATTATATTTAGCTGCTTCTCAAACAAATCATCGACAAGTAATACAATTATTACTAATGAATCCATTTATCGATGTCAATATAAAAAATAATTTGGGTGAAACAGCTGGAACAATTGCAACACGTTCAAGTTCAATACACTGTTTATTTGATTTATATACCGATACTTTAATGAAACTTGAACCATCAATGACATGAATTAGTATCTAGTGTTCGCACGTGTGAAACTTTTAGAATAAATGAATATTATCAACAAACGAATGTATAAGAATTATTTTCATATTTGAGACTAGAAAGATTCTTAACGTTGATAAAATGCTTTATATTATCAGAATTCCCACATCAAGCAAGGATTACAAAATTCAATTGATTAATCAATTTTTTGTTTATAGTTAAATGTATAATGTTCTAGCATTGAGCTATAGTTGGATTAATTGAAAATTTTCAAAATTATTGTAAACATAGTTGTCAGATATAAAATTGTTTGTCAATTATTAATATTAAATCGACATATATGTATTGTGCATAAAAACCAGTAAAAAATATAAAAACAAAATAAAAATATGCTAAGGCTCACATTCATCTTTTGATGCAAACGTTGGAACATACATTTCTCCTCATTAACTACTGTTCGCGAATACAAGGAGTGTGTGGTGTAACAGTCCTATTACACAAAAAAGAACATTTAGTTTCGCTGTAACTGTCTCACCGGGTAGCATGAAATAATCAAAGTTTGTAAATATGTAATAAAACAAAAAATATATCTGAAATATTATATCTGAATTTGATTAAAATCTACTAAAAAATTTGACGGTGGAGGTGTTGCTATAATATCATTATCATAGTCCAATTGATTAAATGGCACTTGTAGTCCACCTTCTTCTCCGAGTAACCACCATGTTGACATATCACCTTTACCCTAGAAAATTTTCATATCATGTGTTTTTTGTTTATGTTGTTACAATAGTAGGACACTCTAATGTACCTTTAATGTAACGCTACCACGTAATTTTACGATGAATGTTTGAAATTTGTCTAGCAATACTTTTGTAGTTGGACTGAGATGAATTCGGAGTGCTTGAATAGAAAAAAAAATCGGTATAAGAATGAAGTGAAAATAAAGAAGAATAGTTTGCGTTGAACATACGAGCTCCATTGGATTCCATTCTTGATGCTACATTAACGGTATCGCCGAACAAGCAATATCTGAAATAGAAAGTAGACAATGTATGCAATACTACTGTTTACATACATTATTTGTTTACCGAGGCATTTTCAAACCGACTACACCCGCAACACAAGAACCTAGAAGTAGAAATTGCAGAACTGAAGTATTTCAACACTGAAAATGCTTGTAATCAAGTCAAACCAGAGTGTATTCCGATTCGTATTCTCAATCGTTCATCGGGTCGATGTCTAATTTTAAAATTAATAACAGCATCTAAAATAGCCAGTGCCATTCGAGCTATTTCTCTTGCGTGTAAATTTCCATTTGGTGTGGGTAGTCCAGAAACGCACATATAAGCATCACCAATGGTTTCAACCTTAAGTTAACTGAATGAATGTACAACTAAATATAGAGAAACAATGTTGATTGAGTTACCTTATACACATCGTATGCTTCAATAATCGAATCAAAACATGTGTAAAGATCGTTTAAAAGTGATACAATCTATGAGAGAAATTAGATAATTTTCATCATAATATACGATGTACACAATTTAAACTTACTTGCATAGGAGTACTTTCTGAAGATATTTGTGTAAAACCACAAATATCACTAAAGTAAATTGTCACTGAACTGAACGATTCAGCCGTAACTGATTTTCCAGCCATTAATTCGGTAGTGACTGATCTAAAAATATATTAAAAATTATTATTATCTAATTCAATATATTTTAAAGTTAACTCACTGTGGTAATAAACGATAAAGTAATTCTTCTGCTTTTTTCTTTTCTATCAAATAATCATTTGTTCTTTCAGTGACAAGTTCTTCTAAATTGTTTGTATATTGTTCCATACGTTTTAATAAATTATCCACGAGATTTTCGTTATCAAATTTTCTGAATAGTAAAATGGAATAGATATATGTATCAATATGTCTCTATATCACGAACTTGCTGAGTTTCCGAATTGTACTTGATATTGCACTAAAATCAGGTCTATCTGCTGGATTTTCACACCAACATTTTTTCATCAAAGCACCAATTTCAAATAATGTATTTTCACCAAGAAATAATGGACGAATTTCATTACCAGATTTTATTGCATGAAATATTTCTAAAAATATCTTTTGATGTAAGTTTAAATTAAGCAATGTTTCTACTAAAATTATAAAAAAGTAACTCATTTCATTGTGTACCTTTAGGTTCTAATTGTGTTTCGTTCATTGCAAATAAACCCCGTCGATATACAATTTCATGTAGTATAATTGCAAAACTATAAACGTCTCCTTTCTGAGTACCTTCTGGTGGTGCTTGCGGATCTCTGATGATTTCTGGAGCGGACCACAGTAGACCTAAAATAATTTAAAATATTATAAAAAATATAATTTTATGTTTAATGAAGAAAGAGTCGGTAGATACTTCTATAATATTGATCACAGTTTGCCGGATATTTTTGATGTCTCGAACAACGTAGAGAAGGAATACCATAATCAGATATTTTAACTACAAATCTACTTCCAATTAAGCAATTTGAACTTTTTAAATTTCCATGACTATGTAGATCGCTATTATGAATGTATACAATACCCTATATTAACAAAATATGCGTTGAATACCAATACTTAAAGTGATTCTAACAAATACCTTCACAACATCGTACATAATCGAGTATTTAAACATATCATCCAATTTAATTTGATTATTTTCCAATAGATCCTAAAGTATTAATACAATCGTTTTTTGGTGCTTTTATGCATAAAGCTCCATATCAAGAATAGCAGTACTATGTACGTACTGTTTACCTGTAAACTGCCTTTTGAACAATATTCAGTGATTAAACATGGTGGATCGAGGCATGCCCCAATAAACCGTACAAGATATTCATTTTGCATATCTTTTATCTATAACAACAGAAGGTATCAAAAGAATAATTTATTAGCTCAAAATAAGAATATAAATTGTTTCTTGTTCTCTCTTCCTTCATTGAACATTACTATCTCTTGTCAATCATCGCATAAACATTTTGATCGAAACAGAAGAAAGATTGATCTTAGGTACCGTTTTCACTTCCATCAGCAGCACACGTGTTATGTCGATCCTCGACTTGTGTTCAATTGGTTTCAATGCCACTATCATGCCCTTAGAACAGCCAAAAAAAAGCAACTTAAGCTTTAAGTTTCATAACGAAAACTCATTTCTGTACCTTATATCGTCCAGTTGTCAAAGAATTCGTTGCTGATTTTGTGTCAATAATTGTATCTTCAAAGATGGGAAAATGATGAATTGACATTCTCTAAACAAATGAGAATCATTATAACAACTAATGACGAGTTATTTTTACGTCTTCACCTTATTTTTATCTTTTTTCACTTGTTTAAACTTTGATGAAAGCTCTTCCATTGTGAATAGATCATCAGGTTGAATTATCCAGTTCATCACCTTCAATTGAGCCTCAAAACTTACACGTCTATTAGCAAGCAGAAAAACCTTTTCAGTGTATATTGAAATTAGGGGGAGGGGGTATCCCCTTTCTAGCGTACCTTCATACTTTACGATTTACAGCGAACATCTTCAAAGATATAGGTGTGCAATAACTCGCAGATTAGATAAGTAGTGATGGAGTAGTGAAATTTTTACAAATTGAAAAAATCGATTTTTCATATTTCTTTAAGAAAATAAGTTCAAATATCGTGTTTTAACGTAGGGTTTTAGAAGAGTCTTTGGAAAACCAGTTGTGGATGAGAAACTTGCAATAGAAATATGTTTTTGTTTTCATGAATAGATAGGCCTAAGTGTTCACTTCGAAATGGAGTTAAACGAGTCTCTGGTTTTCAGTAGTTCGGGCGTAGTATCAGATTTCCTGGGACTTCCGAAATTAGTATCTGTTGACTTTTGGAAAACTCAGACGATTGAAACATAGACAATCGAACACTCATAGTCTACGGCACTATCTGTTGTCTGAAAAAGATTCAAAAACCGAGTGAAAACCTATTTTTCGGCAACAGATAGTTTCA